AGAGATAATGGGAAGCATGAGATGGATGGATGGATGGATGGATGGATGGAAGGGTGGGTGGGTGGGTGGGTGGATGGATAGATAGATAATGGGAAGTATGAGATGGATGGATGGATGGATAGATAGAGAGATAGATAGATAGATAGATAGAGAGAGAGAGAGAGAGAGATAATGGGAAGTATGAGATGGATGGATGGACGGACGGACGGACAGACAGAGGGATAGCCTGCTGAATAGAGACAAATAAACTGCAAGTTAGATCAATGGGCAGATAGACATGCTGATAGATGGATGGATTGATAGATAGATAGATAGATAGATAGATAGATAGATAATGGGAAGTATGAGATGGATGGATAGATAGAGAGATAGATAGAATCATAGAATCAAAGAGTTGGAAGAGACCTCATGGGCCATCCAGTCCAACCCCATTCTGCCAAGAAGCAGGAATATTGCATTCAAATCACCCCTGACAGATGGCCATCCAGCCTCTGCTTAAAAGCTTCCAATGAAGGAGCCTCCACCACACTCCGGGGCAGAGAGTTCCACTGCTGAACGGCTCTCACAGTCAGGAAGTTCTTCCTAATGTTCAGATGGAATCTCCTCTCTTGTAGTTTGAAGCCATTGTTCCGCGTCCTAGTCTCCAAGGAAGCAGAAAACAAGCTTGCTCCCTCCTCTTCCCTGTGGCTTCCTCTCACATATTTGTACATGGCTATCATATCTCCTCTCAGCCTTCTCTTCTTCAGGCTAAACATGCCCAGTTCCCTATAGATAATGGGAAGTATGAGATGGATGGATGGATGAACAGACAGACAGACAGACAGAGGGATAGCCTGCTGAATGGGTGGGTGGATGGGTAGGTGGACAGATAGATGGGCAGACAAATAGAGAGGTGGAGCGATGATTAGCTAGATATTTGCATAGATAGATGAATAGATAGAGAAAGGAATAGAGTGTTGGGTGGATGGACAGATAGGAAGATAGATGGATAGCTAGCTAGAAGGATATACTGCTGGATGGATGGATGAGAGGTCAATGGATAGATACAGATATGGTAGAGAGAGAGAGAGATCAATGGACAGATGGGGCTGTGGGTTCAAGGGGGAGGCCAAATGCCTTCACTTGGGGGGAAGAAAGAGGGGGCTCCCTTCCTCCCTCTCCTTGACTTTGCTGCCCCCCAGACCCTTTGCACCCCCCAGATCCTCCCCCCCAATCCCTCTCTGCAAAGGGGGTGCCCTGGAAGGCAGGCTGGGCCATGCAAAGGGCTGCAATGCCAAGGCCCCCATGAGACCCACCTCACCGGCCACGTGGCTCTCCTCTCCTCCTGGGGTCTTCCCAGGGAAAGAAAGAAAGACTCAGGAGGGGACATCCGGTCCAAAGAGACCAAGACCAGCCCACACGTCCGGCTCCTGCTCGACACTCCCTCCCTCCTTCCCTCCCTTTCCTACTTGGCTGACCTTCTCAGGAGGAGAGGAGAACTCTTTGGTTTCCCTTATTCAACCCAAACACACCCCACTTTGGCTACTTTCTATCCTTCACTTCCTCTACTGAGGAACTTTCCATTGCCAGGCATAAAGGGTGCAGTTAATGCCAATTTGGCCCCACTTGGACTGCAAACCCATTGCAATTGCAACCCAATCAATGATTTGGGGAAGAGAATCCTAGAATCCTAGGGTTAGGAGAGACCTCATGGGCCATCCAGTCCAACCCCATTCTGTCAAGAAGCAGGGAAATTGCCTTCAAAGCAACCCCGACAGATGGCCACCCAGCCTCTTTCAAAGCCTCCAAAGAAGGAGCCTCCACCCAGAGGCGGCCCTAGGTAATTTTCAACGGTAAGCAAACAGTATTTTGGTGCCCCCCCCCCCCCAAACCAATCATTGATATATATTTTCTGTTCGTCGTGGGAGTTCTGTGTGCCATATTTGGTTCAATTCCATCATTGGTGGAGTTCAGAATGCTCTTTGATTGTAGGTGAACTATACATCCCAGTAACTACACTTGCCGCACTTGCTCCCTTGCCTGGCCCGCTTTGGTCCGGAGGCGTGCCTGAAGACCCCGGCGTGTGCACCAAAAGTCACCTCTTCTCCTGACTTTCTCCTCAGCCATTGGGACCAAGAGAGAGAGAGAGAGAGAGAGAGAGGATAGCGGGGATGCCCACCTTTCCTGAAGGTAGGCGCAAAAACAAAGGAGGGAGCGGAGGTGGGAGATACCTCCAGCCAGAGGGCTCTCTCTCTCTCTCTCTCTTGGTCCCAATGGCTGAAGAGAAAGTCAGGAGAAGAGGCGACTTTTGGTGTGCACGCCGGGGTCTTCAGACACGCCTCCGGACCCGAAGCGGGCCAGGCAAGGGAGCAAGTGTGGCGCGGCGGCTTCGCCCCAGGAGAGGAGGCGGGTGGAGCGCTGGGGGATTGGGAAAGGGAGCCGGTCATGGGGAAGGGATCGAACGCAGAGAACGATTGAGCGCCGGCTCTGCTTGCACACCTGGTGGCCAGGTGGAGCAGGAACGAGAGGGGCTAGGTGAGGCTCAAGGGCCCGGCCCCTTTGGGAAGAGGATCGCCTGGCAGCGAGGCAAGAAAGCCGAGGCTCCCCCCGGAATGCTAGGGCTGTTGTGAGCTGAGGGGGCGCTCCTCAAGTGGCAGTCGAGGGGCATTTACAGAGGCGCCTCTGCGCCCCTGGCAAAAAAAAGTGTTCTGCGACCGCTTACTTCGCGTAATGGACGAGCCGCCCCCTGCCTCCACCATACTCTGGGGCAGAGAGTTCCACTGCTGAATAGCTCTCCTCACATTCACAAAGTTCTTCCTCATGTTCAGGAATCTCCTTTCCCATAGTCTGAAGATTATTATATACTAGCCATCCCCTGCCATGTGTTGCTGTGGCCCAGTCTGTATATGTGTTTAGTATGTGTATTCTTAGGCGATCCCTCATTAGACAAGTAGGATAGTCTTCCATGATCTGTATTCTTGTGGATCCGTAGGTGGCTGTGGAGCCCTATTCTTGACCTGCATCTTCTCCCACAGTAAGCGCATTGGTTTCCAGGTGGGAGGCGGTCTCGATCGGGGTTGGCTTGACGCGCCTTCCTCTTGGCACATTTCTCTCTTTCACCCTCCATCCACGCCTCTTCAAATTCTGCAGCACTGCTGGTCACAGCTGACCTCCAGCTGGAGCGCTTAAGGGCAGAGCTTCCCAGTTCTCAGTATCTATGCCAGAGTTTTTAAGGTTGGCTTTGAGCCCATCTTTGTGTATATGTGTGTATATATTTCTGTATATGTGTATACACCTTGTCTCTCTCCTGATGAATCTGTATAAGGACCAAGTAGCAACAGTAAGAACAGACTGGTTCAAGATTGGGAAAGGCGTACGGCAGGGTTGTCTACTCTCCCCCAACCTATACAACTTGTATGCAGAACACATTATGTTCTGAACTCTAGCACAACGAATCTAGTTCTGGGACTTCTGGTTAGGCCGCTAGAGGATATTTGACCTCACTTCCAGCCGGTGGAGCAGGGAGCAGAATGCCGTGGGGGATGCATCTTTGGGGGCCCTGTGATCACCATTACTAGCAACCACATAACCACAGCAACCATCATCCAATCTACTCTTATGGGGTGTCGTGGATATCTAACTGACCATCATTACTGAAATAAGTGAGGGGGAGGCTGGGAGAGGCAAGGGTCTGTGCTATGGGTGCCATTTCCCACCATTACAAACAGTGGCAGCCATCTTAATTTACACTAAGCAGTAAGTTAAATAATTAATTTTTGGTTTATTAAAAAGTGTACATTATCATTATATTTTTTCTTTGTTTTTTTTAACTATAAATATCACAAAATTGAGTTTTTCCCCCCCTCAAAGTGACACCCCACCCAAGTTATGTTCGGGTTTTTTTGGCGAATGTTGACACACTCAGCTCAAAAGATTGCTCATCACTGCCCTACCTTCCTTGTCCCTACTTCACGGATTTTCACTTATCGCGGGTGGTCCTGGAACAGAACACCGGCAATAAGTGAGTGAACACTGTACCTCTATCTGTTGTCTGTCTTATCATTGCCTAACGACATTGAATGTTTGCTGTATAGTAGGCTTGGGCGATCCAGTTCGTTAATTTCATAATTCGTTATTAATTATTTAAATTAGCTTATGATCCAATATCGAGCCATGCAGGAATAGTGTGAGGAGTAATTAAGAATCGAAACAATTTTTCCAATTTTCGTAATTATTTTCATAATTTCGTAATTATATTTTATAATATACTATTATAATATAATATATAATATAATATTATAATAATATAATATACATTATATATTATATTACATTATATTATTATAATACTATTATACTATAGCATTGTATATTATAATATATGTAATATATTATAATATTATGTAATATAATATAATATACAATTATAATATAATAGAATATATTATATATATATTATATATAATATAATATAATATACAATAATATAATATAATAATAATATAATAATAATATATGATATAATATTATATATATAATATAATATAGTAATATTATAATATAATATACAACAATATAATATAATATAATATAATATGATATGATATGATATGATATGATATAATATAATATAGTTGTTTGTTTTATCACACCAACAGTCAACAACAGAGGGAGAGGGAAGCTTCAGAAGTTCCCCCTGTCCCGTTTGGAGGTTTTTTTAGCATATTGCGCAATCGCGTCCACCATTAACGAATCGATTCGTAATTTTACGAAATTTCGTATATTTCGAAAAATTTTAAAGTAAAATTTCGAAATTCTTTAAAAAAACGAAACGAGTTTAGAACCAATTTTTCCGTGGTTACCCAAGCCTACTGTGTATGTGTTCTGTGATCCGCTCTGAGGTGAGAAGGGCGGAATATAAATACTGTAAATAAATAAAATAAATAAATACTGCTTTGGAGGGCAAGCCAAGGGCCCACTCTTTCAAGGAGGAGCGATTCTCAAGAGGCGGGAGACAAAGGAACAAGCCAATTGCCTTTAATTAAACACAACTGAACCCAACCCACCACAGCGTGAGGGCATTTAGAAAAGGAAGTAGTCCCAACTTAATAAACCACGGACTCAAGTCGTCCCTGAAAAACCTATGAAGGTGTTGCTCTGGAAATGAGAGACAAAACATGGCTTATTTTCGGTCTTGGGGTGGGTCAAAAAGGAGTATATCGGGGGACGATTCAGGCGGGCACAAAACGCGGCCCAATTAATTCCCAGCCGTGCCCAACGGGACCAAGGCCTTTCCTATAAGCCAGAGTTCCTATCACCCTTAAAATCAGGGTTTCGAAAATTGCATGGCATCTTTACAATGCTGCTAAACTACAACTCCCAGGCCACCCGTTTTGAGGAATGCCTCGGAGAGCTTCATCCTATTCAACCCCTTGAGATGGATCCTGCTGGTTAGCCGACGCTGGAGTAAATTCTGCTTCGTCGGGTCGACCCGCATTGGGAGGAACACCTCTCTGCGTTGCTTCTCCGTTGAGCGAACGATCCCTTTGAGGCCCGATCCGCGCCGAAGCGCCTTTCTCCTTCCCAAGGCCCCTCCTGGCTTCATGGAACTTGAGGTGCTTCTGGTGGATGGAGCTGTGGGCGAAGCAGCGGCCGCACTCCTCGCAGCGGAAGGGTTTATCCCGGAGGTGGATCCTCTGGTGCGTGTTGAGGTTTCCCTTGTGGCGGAAGTGCTTCCCGCACTCGAGGCACTCGAAGGGCTTCTCCTCGGAGTGGATCTTCCGGTGTAGCTTCAGCCTCGAAGCCAGGTTGAAGGTCTTGCCACAGTCCAAACACCGGTGCTCCTTCTCTCCTGATGGAGCTGCCCTCTCGCCTTTGCCTCGGAAGATCTGCTGAAGGAAGCTCTTCTCAAACTCAGAAGGCTGCGGCTGGCTTCTCTCGTTTCCTGGGGGATTTCCCCCGAGAGATGGCATTTGGGGCAGGTAAGTCCCTTTAGGGGAAATGTAGGCTGCGTCGTGGTCCCAGCCGTGGCTTCCAACAGTTGTCTCCTTCTTACTCTTCGCCTTGGAATCACCTGAAGGAATGGAAATTTTGGAAGAGGAGATCACCAAACTGGGAAAACAAGTATATATCCCCCCCTCTGTTGCCCAGCTGTCACAGGGGATGCTACCCTTCCTGATCTTCCTTTCTCTGGCTCTTAAAAAGCCTACTTTCCACTTTTTCCAGCTCTGAAAATGCCCTTTTTCCTTTCTCGGCTCTGAAAAGGTTTATTTTCTTTGTAAAGTACTATTTTCTCCCTTCTCCAGCTCTGAAAAGGTCTATTTTATTCTAAAAGGCCTACTTTCTCCATTCTCCAGCTCTGAAAAGGCATATTTTATTCTGAAAAGGCCCACTTTCTCTGTTCTCCAGCTCTAAAAAAGTCTTCTTTCTCTCTTGTCCACCTTTGAATAGGCCTATTTTATTCCAAGAGGTCCACTTTCTTCCTTCTCCAGCTCTGAAAAAGCCTATTTTATTCTGAAAGGCCCACTTTCTCCCTACTCCAGCTTTAAAATGCCTACTTTCTCTCTTCTCCAGCTCTGAAAAAGCCTATTTTATTCTGAAAAGACCTACTTTCTCCCTCCTTCAGCTCTAAAAAAAAGTCTACTTTCTCTCTTCCCCAGCTCTGAATAGGCCTATTTTATTTTGAGAGGCCTACTTTCTTCCTTCTCCAGCTCTGAAAAGGCCCTCTTTCTCCCTTCTCCAGCTCTGAAATGGCCTACTTTCTCCCATGTCCAGCTCTGAAAAGCCCCCCTTTCTCCCTTCTCCAGCTCTGAAAAGGCCTACTTTCTCCCATGTCCAGCTCTGAAAAGTCCCCCTTTCTCCCTTCTCCAGCTCTGAAAAGGCCTACTTTCTCGTGTCCCGCTCTAAAAAGGCTCCCTTTCTTCCTTATCCAGCTCTGAAGAGGCCTACTTTCTCTCGTGTCCAGCTCTGAAAAGACTCCCTTTCTTCCTTCTCCAGCTCTGAAAAGGCCTACTTTCTTTAGTGTCCAGCTCTGAAAAGGCTCCCTTCTCCAGCTCTGAAAAGGCTCACTTTTTCCCTTCTCCAGCTCTGAAAAGCCCTATTTTATTCTTAAAAGGCCTACTTTCTCCGTTCTCCAGCTATAAAAAGGTCTACTTTGTCTTGTCCAGCTCTGAAAAGGCATATTTTATTCTAAAAAGGCTCCCTTTCTCCCTTCTCCAGTTCTGAAAAGGTCTACTTTCTCTCGTGTCCAGCTCTAAAAAGGCATTATTTTCTTCTGAAAAGGCTCACTTTCTCCCTTCTCCAGCTCTGAAAAGGCCTATTTCCTTCTGAAAAGGCCCCCTTTCTCCCTTCTCCAGCTCCGAAAAGGCCTATTTCCTTCTGAAAGGGCCTTTCCCCCTTCTCTGGCTCTGAAAAAGTCTAATTCACAATGTTTATATAGACCACTTAAACAGTTAAGGAACAACACATGGCATGGAATATTTTTCCATTTTATTTCATGGATAATTTCCTCCAGACCGTAATTTCATGGTGTGCCAAATCTGGAGGTTTGTATGCAAAGGCTGGATGGCCATCTGTCGGGAGGGCTTGAATGAGGTCTCTTCTAAGCCATTCTAAGAGAGCCTTTCGTGAACCTCTATGTGATTCCGTAGCCTCCCTACCAAGCCTATAGAGCAAGGATTTCAATGAAGGCAAACAGTCATCCAGCCCAAGGAAGGGGATCTACCTTTGGTTGAGGAGGCCACGCTCTCGAAGCGCTCCTCCACGACCTCCATGAGCAACGTGCTCCCTCCCAGGTCGGGCAAGAGTGGATCCTCTTCTGTGGAAGAGTCAAGCTTCTCTTTCACATCCACTGGATCCTGAAAAAGAAGACAAAGGACAATCTCAGCGAACATGGAAGACTCAAAGGCTGAGAATAATGTGTGGTGCAGATGGAAGTTCTCCTGAAGGACCTCCACTCTCCTCAGTTGCATGGAGAGGCTTGGGACTGAATCACAGGAAGGAGGAGAAAATATGGGAAGTCTCTTTGTCAAACTACAACTCCCATAATTCCACAGCAATGGCAGTTGTATGAAGTTATCTGTGTAGGGTAACTTCAGCCTTCCCTCCAGGTGTTTTGGACTTCAACTCCCACAATTCCTGACAGCCTACCGACTGGAGGGAAACCCAAAGTTGGCCCATGCTTGGTGTACAGAGATCCATGGATAAAGAGATCCCATTCTCCTCACTCCCAACCCCTGGCCCTTGTCCACTTTTACCTCATTTGGTGGGACGTCCAGAGTGTCCATTCCACTTTGAGGAAAAAGCAACCTAGAAGGAACCTTCACAGCTGGTTTGTGGTCTCCAACTTCCATGTCTTCTCCTGTAATGAAAATATAGAAGAGGAAGTAGGCATTTCTAGAGCTGGAGAAGGGAGAAAGTGGCATTTCACTTGCCTTTCTAACCATCTACCTATCTATCCACCCATCTATTCATCTTTCCATCCATCCAACTGCCCATCTAACAATTGATTCATCCATCCATCCATCCATACATCTATCTATGCATCTGTCCACCAACCGACCTATCTATTCATCTAGCCCTCCATCACCTATTTATTCATACTTCCATCCATTGATCCATCCACCTATCTAACCTAGTATCTCTCTATGCATCCATCTATCCCTCTACCCACCTATCTAACCAGCCATTTATCCACCTATCCACCTTTCTAACCATCTATCTATCCACCCATCTATTCTTCTTTCCATCCATCCATCCATCAATCTATGCATCTGTCCACCCACTGACTTATCTATTCATCTAGCCATCCATCACCTATCTACTCATATTTCCATCCATCCACCCATCTAACAATTGATTCATCCATCCATCAATTTATCTATGCATCTGTCCACCCACCGACCTATCTATTAATCTAGCCCTCCATCACCTATCTATTCATACTTCCATCCATCCATCCATCTTTCCATCCATCTTTCCATCCATCCACCTATCTAACCATCTATCTATGCTTCCATCTATCCCTCTACCCACCCATCTATCTATGTGTCTAACCATCCATCTATCCACCTATCCATCCACCCACCTTTCTAACCATCTATCTATCCACCCATCTATGCATCTTTCCACCCATCCATTGATCCATCCAACCACCCATCCAACAATTGATTCATCAATCCATCCATCTATCTATGCATCTGCCCACCCACCAACCTATTTATTCATCTAGACATCCATCACCTATCTATATTCATATTTCCATCCATTAATCCATCCATCCACCTACCTAACCAAGTATCTATGCATCCATCTATCCCTCTACCCACCCACCTATCTGACCATCTGTCTAACCATCCATCTATCCACCTATCCATCCATTCACCTTTTTAACCATCTATCTATCTATCTATCTATCTATCTATCTATCTATCTATCCATCCATCCATCCATCCAACAGCCCATCTAACAATTGATTCATCCATCAAGCCATCCATCAATCTATGCATCTCTCCACCCTCTGATCTATCTATTCATCTAGCCATCTATCACCTATCTATTCATATTTCCATCCATCCATCTTTCCATCCATTGATCCATCCATCTACCTATCTATGCTTCCATCTATCCCTCTACCCACCTACGTATCTGTCCATCTGTCTAACCATCCATCTATCCACCTTTCCATACATTCACCTTTCCAACCATCCATCCATCCATCCATCCATCCATCCATCCATCCATCCATCCATCCATCCATCCATCTATCTATCTATCTATCTATCCACACAACTATTCATCTTTCCATCCATCCATTGATCCATCCAAGCACCCATCCTGCAATTGAGTCATCCATCAATCCATGCATCTGTCCACTCACCGACCTATCTATTCATCTAGCCATCCATCACCTATCTAGTCATCTTTCCATCCATCCACCCATCTTTCCATCTATCTATGCTTCCATCTATCTATCTATCTATCTATCTATCTATCTATCTATCTATCTATACAACTATTCATCTTTCCATCCATTCATTGATCCATCCAAGCACCCATCCTGCAATTGAGTCATCCATCAATCCATGCATCTGTCCACTCACCGACCTATCTATTCATCTAGCCATCCATCACCTATCTAGTCATCTTTCCATCCATCCACCCATCTTTCCATCTATCTATGCTTCCATCTATCCCTCTACCCACCCATCTATCTGTCTATGTGTCTAACCATCCATCTATCCACCTATCCATCCAATCACCTTTCTAACCATCTATCTATCCACCCATCTATGCATCTTTCCACCCATCCATTGATCCATCCAACCACCTATCAAACAATTGATTCATCAATCCATCCATCTATCTATGCATCTGCCCACCCACCAACCTATTTATTCATCTAGACATCCATCACCTATCTATATTCATATTTCCATCCATTAATCCATCCATCCACCTACCTAACCAAGTATCTATGCATCCATCTATCCCTCTACCCACCCACCTATCTGACCATCTGTCTAACCATCCATCTATCCACCTATCCATCCATTCACCTTTTTAACCATCTATCTATCTATCTATCTATCTATCTATCTATCTATCTATCCATCCATCCATCCATCCAACAGCCCATCTAACAATTGATTCATCCATCAAGCCATCCATCAATCTATGCATCTCTCCACCCTCTGATCTATCTATTCATCTAGCCATCTATCACCTATCTATTCATATTTCCATCCATCCATCTTTCCATCCATTGATCCATCCATCTACCTATCTATGCTTCCATCTATCCCTCTACCCACCTACGTATCTGTCCATCTGTCTAACCATCCATCTATCCACCTTTCCATACATTCACCTTTCCATCCATCCATCCATCCATCCATCCATCCATCCATCCATCCATCTATCTATCTATCTATCTATCTATCTATCTACACAACTATTCATCTTTCCATCCATCCATTGATCCATCCAAGCACCCATCCTGCAATTGAGTCATCCATCAATCCATGCATCTGTCCACTCACCGACCTATCTATTCATCTAGCCATCCATCACCTATCTAGTCATCTTTCCATCCATCCACCCATCTTTCCATCTATCTATGCTTCCATCTATCTATCTATCTATCTATCTATCTATCTATCTATCTATCTATCTATACAACTATTCATCTTTCCATCCATTCATTGATCCATCCAAGCACCCATCCTGCAATTGAGTCATCCATCAATCCATGCATCTGTCCACTCACCGACCTATCTATTCATCTAGCCATCCATCACCTATCTAGTCATCTTTCCATCCATCCACCCATCTTTCCATCTATCTATGCTTCCATCTATCCCTCTACCCACCCATCTATCTGTCTATGTGTCTAACCATCCATCTATCCACCTATCCATCCAATCACCTTTCTAACCATCTATCTATCCACCCATCTATGCATCTTTCCACCCATCCATTGATCCATCCAACCACCTATCAAACAATTGATTCATCAATCCATCCATCTATCTATGCATCTGCCCACCCACCAACCTATTTATTCATCTAGACATCCATCACCTATCTATATTCATATTTCCATCCATTAATCCATCCATCCACCTACCTAACCAAGTATCTATGCATCCATCTATCCCTCTACCCACCCACCTATCTGACCATCTATCTTACCATCCATCTATGCACCTATCCATCCATGCACCTTTTAACCATCTATCTATCTATCTATCTATCTATCTATCCAGCCATCCATCCATCCATCCATCCATCCATTGATCCATCCAACAGCCCATCTAACAATTGATTCATCCATCAAGCCATCCATCAATCTATGCATCTCTCCACCCTCTGATCTTTCTATTCATCTAGACATCCATCACCTATCTATTCATACTTCCATCCATCCATCCATCCATCCATCTTTCCATCCATTGATCTATCCATCCACCTATCTATGCTTCCATCTATCCCTCTACCCACCTACGTATCTGTCCATCTGTCTAACCATCTATCTATCCACCTTTCCATACATTCACCTTTCCAACCAACCATCCATCCATCCATATCTCTATCTATCTATCTATCTATCTATCTATCTATCTATCCACACAACTATTCATCTTTCCATCCATCCACTGATCCATCCAAGCACCCATCTAGCAATTGAATCATCCTTCAATCTATCCATCTATCCACCCACCAACCTATCTATTCATCTAGCTATCCAGCACCTATCTATTCATCTTTCCATCCATCCACCCATCTTTCCATCCATTGATCCATCCAACCATCTATCTCACTGCCTATCTATGCATCCATCCATTGATTATCTAGTAAATCAAATAATTACAATTCTTGGGGGGTGAAACAATCTCAACCTCTTAAATGGGTAAGAAGGTCAACTTTGAAGAAACTGGGCAAAACTCTTTGACACCGAACCACAGCAGTAAAAGTGATGTCGAACTGTGTTAATTCCACAATGTAGATGCATCCAAATACTGGTCACATGGCCTTACCTGGAGGTGCAGCCACTCGGCCATCCCCTTGCAGGGTCTTCTTCTTGACCACGGGCTCCTTCTTGACTTCAGGGACCTATAAGAAGAGGAGGAATCAGCCCCATTGAGGGAAACCCTGACCACCTCTGGTCCTGGAAGCTAAGCAGGGCCATGAACGAGTGTCCCATGGAGGAGAAAGGTTTGTCATTTGCTGCTCCAAAGACTAGGTTACAATGGAGCCAGGGACTCACTGCCTTTGAGTTCGGTAGAGGGGGCTCCATTTCCATAAGCAGGGGGTGGATGACCATCTGTTGTGAGGGCTCTAATTGTTTCCTTGCATGGCAAAAAAGAGCTTGGACTTCCGACTCCGGGCATGGCAGAAGAGGTTGAGACTAGATGTCCTTTGGGGGTCCCTTCTGACTATGAGTGTAGTCTTCCTGCATGGCAGAAGGAGGATGAGACTAGATGTCCTATGGGGTTCCCTTCAGTGAAGGGGTGTAAAATTACTGCCACCTAATCTGTGAGGAAGCCCAGTAGTTCTCAGCATCAATTTAGGAGCTGTTTTACAAAGAAGGATTTACTTATTTATTAGCGTAGCGTTTACTGTCCCTGGCTTGGTTTTACTTCTTATGCAGGCTGTTTGACTTAGGAGAAACGGTATCAGGCAACGCCTGAGGAAAACAGTAACAAATTTATTTAACAGGAGTATAACATATTAATTGTTTCTTCACAAGAGGCAAAAATCTTGATTGGTTACATTAGTAAGATTTCATGAGTAACTTTAGGTACAGACTTTAAGAGGTTTCTGTAAGCAGATGTATCTTTCCTGGACAACTGTCCTAATAAAACAAATAAGCTAAAAGGCTTATTTAACAGAATTGGCTCCCAGCCAAACCCTGATTCTTAATATTAAAGAACCAGTCTTCCCTATAGTTCTCTAACTATAGTATTCCTGATGGTTTTCCACACACCACAGGATCAACTACCTTCTCCTGTAACTCTTTGGTCACAGACTAGTTCCCTGTTTCTCCCACTAGAGAAATCAGTCTTCCCTGTAGCTCACCGGCTTACAGACTGCCACTTTCAAACAGCTGCCCCGTGAAGTGACAGTTGGCTCTGCCCCCGTTGCTATGGCAACTCAGCTCAAGCCAAACCAGCCACTATCTCTAACAAAATATAATCCTACATACTTACCATTTATTAACTACTGTTTAAACAACACATATCCATAAGAATAAAAATTACACATCGTCACACCTTCCGACTCTAGTATTCTATGAGAGGGGTCTCTGGGCATGGCAGAAGTGGTTGAGACTAGATGTCCTTGAGGAGGGGGGGTCTATTTGCAAGCTCCTGCGTCTCCCCTCTTGCGGCTTACCTGTGGCGGGAGGAAGGCCTCGGCGAGGGCCACGGCGTGGGCGCTGCTCTGGGGCCTCCGGTCCCGCACCCAGGCCTCCATCTCGGGGGGCAGGATCTTGAGGAACTGCTCCAGGACCACCAGGTCCATCATCCGGGCCTTGCTGTTCTTCTCCGGCTGCAGCCACTGGTGGCACAGGGCTCGGATCCGGGCGCAGGTCTCCTGGGGGCCCCGGGAGCCCCGGAAGCAGTAGCTCCGGAAGTGGCGGACCTGGTCGGCCCAGCGCCCGGGGCTCCCCTCCAGCACGCTGCGCACCGCCGGACCCCAGGCGGGCTCGTCCTCCTCCTCCTCCTCGGAAGTGGGGCTGCGCCAGGCCCCACCAGCTGGCCCCTGGGCCTCCCTCTTCATCCTGCAGGAAGCGGAGACTGCTCCTTCCTTCCTTTGACCTGCGGAGCTCACCTGCTCTCCAAAACCCTGCAAAGAGAAATGCTAGTTAATCCTTCCATTCCTTCTTACCCTTCCCCTCTGTACTCCCTTCCTTCCCCTTCCTCCCTCCCTCCCTCCCTCCCTCCTTTCCTTCCCATTCCCTTCCACCCTTCCTTCCTAATTTCTTTCCTTTCCCTTCCTTCTTCCTTTCCTTTCCCTTCTTTCCCCTTTCCTTCCCTTTCTCCTTTCCCTTCCCTTCTGTCCTTCCTTCCTTTCCTTCCATTCCGCCTTCTTCTTCCCTTCTATCCTTCCTCCCTCCTTTCCTTCCCATTCCCTTCCACCTTTACTTCCTAATTTCTTTCCTCTCCCTTCCGTCTTCCCTTTCTTTCACTTCTTTCTTCCCTCTGTTCCTCCTTTCCTTTCCCTTCCCTTCTTTCCCTTTCCTTTCCCTTCCTTTCCACCATTCCTCCTTTCCCTTCTTTCCTTCCTTCCATCCCTCCATTCCTTTTTTCCCTTCCCCTCTTTCCTTCCTTCCTTTCCCTTGCTTCCTCCCTTCTTCCTTTCCCTTCCATTTTTCCTTCCCCTTCCCTTCTATCCTTCCGCCCTCCTTTCCTTCCCATTCCCTTCCACCCTTCTTTCCTAATTTCTTTCCTTTCCCTTCCTTCATCCCTCTTCCTCCCTTCCCTTCCCTCTTTCCTTCCTTCCTTCCCTCCTTCTTCCCTTCCCCTCTTCCTTCCTTCTTCCCTTCCTTTCCCCTTCTCCTTTCCTTCTTTCCTTCCTTCCATCCCTCCTTCCTTTTTCCTTCCCCTCTTCCTTCCTCTTTCCCTTCTCTCCCTTCTTCCTTCCTTCCTTTCTCCTTCCCCTTCCCTTCTATCCTTCCCTCCTTTCCTTCCTTCCTTCCCTCTTCCTTTTCTTTCTTTCCCTTCCTTCATCCCTCCTCCCTTCCTTCTTTCCTTCCTTCCTTCCATTCCTTCTTCCTTCCCCTCTGTTTCCTTCCTTTCCCTTCCTTCCTTTCCTCTTCCCCTTCCTTCTCCTCCCTCCCTCCTTTCCTTCCCATTCCCTTCCACCCTTCCTTCCTAATTTCTTTCCTTTCCCTTCCTTCTCCCTTTCCATCCCCTTCCTTCATCCCTCTGTTCCTCCTTTCCCTTCCCTTCTTTCTCTCTTTCCTTTCCCTTCCTTTCCACCATTCCTCCTTTCCCTTCCCTTCTGTCTTTCCTCCCCTTCCTTATTTATTATTTATTTATTTACTATATTTCTATACCACCTTCTTCCTTGGTTTCTTCATTCCTTCCTCCTTTCTTCAATCCTTCTTCCTTTTTGTGCCCTTCCTTCATCCCTCTGTTCCTCCTTTCTCTTTCCTCCTTTCCTTTCCACTATACCTCCTTTCCCTTCCATTTCAGCCTTGCTTTCCTTTTCTTTCCCTTCCTTCCATTCCTCCGTAGTTTCCTTCTGTTCTTTCTTCCTCCTTTCCTTCCCCTTCCATCCTTCTTCACTTTCCCTTCCATCCTTCCTTCCTAATTTCTTTGTCCTTTCTTCCTCCTCTCCTTTCCCTTCCATCCCTCTCTTCTTTCCCTTCTGTCCTTCCTTCCCCCTTTCCTACCCCTTCTTCCTTTTCCCTTCCATCCTTTCTTCCTCTTTCCCTTCTGTCTTTTCTTCCTTCTTTCCTTTCCCATCCCACTTTTCTTTCCTTATTTTGTATCACACACCTTCCTCATTCTTTACTCTTTCCTTCCTGGGTTTTCCTTCCCCTTTTCCTTCTCCCTTCCTTTCTCTTCTCTTCTTTTCTCATATAATTTCTGCTTTCTTTCCTTTCATCTTCTCCATTTTTTTCCTCACACTTCCTTTTTCTTGTCTTCTTTCTTTCCCTTTCCTCCCCTCTTCTTATGCTTTTCTCACTTTCCTTTTTCTTTCTTCCTTCCCTTTCCTTCCTTCTCCCTTTTCTTTCTTTTTCTCTTCCCTTTCTTTCTTTGCCCCCCTCATACCTTTCTTCCTTCCCCTCCTTCATCCCTTCCTTTCTCTTCCCTTTCTTTCTTTCCTTCCTTTCCCTCATACCTTTCCCCTTCTTCTCTTCTCTTCTTTTCCTTTCTTCACTCCTTCCTTCTCACTTCCTTTCTTTTTTCCTTTGTTGCAGGAAATGCTTGAATTTTCTAAATCCTATAAAGACAGGAAACCAAGCAACCTTCAATTCTGAGGGTTATGCAGAATGGAGCCAAAACTCTGAAAAAATAGTTTTCTAAACTTTTTCCTAACTATTTGAGTAGGAATACATAATCTTGTATATTTACATTAAAAAATGATATACTTTATAATTTAATCATTATAATAATTATATATTGTAATATAATAAAAATAAATTATAATATAATAAAAATAGTAGACTCTTGGTGAATTGGAATTCTCAAGCAACCAATATAATAATAGTAATAATAATAATAATAATAATAATAATAATAATTCACACTTGCTGTACATGGATGACCTGAAGCTGTACGAGAAAACCGAAACTGAAATCCAGTCTCTGACTAATACTGTCCGAATCTTTAGCACTGATATCAGTGCTGAAGAAGGGAAAAATCATTGAAAGTGAGGGCATAAATATGCCCAATGGCCAAGCAATCGTGTCACAAGCCAGAAGCCTATAAATATCTGGGCAGACTACAGTTGGACAACATCAAACATTAATACATTCAAAGGGTCAGAAAAATTCTCAAAAGCAAGCTCAATGGAGGCAACACCATCAAGGCCATCAACACCTGGGCCAGACCTGTCATAAGACATACTGCTGATATCATAAACTGGACACAGGTAGAACTAGACAATTTGGACAGAAAAAAAAAGACAATTCACAATTCATTACCAAATGACCAGCCACTGCCAAAAGGGACAGAGAGTTTCATCTATGCTGATGATCGTGCCATCACCGCTCAAGCAGGGAGCTTTGAGATGGTTGAACAGAAGCCCTCCAAAGCTCTAGGTGCTCTTACTGCCTATTACAGGGAAAACCAGCTGATCCCCAACCCATCTAAAACACAGACATGTGCCTTTCATGTAGCAAATTAAGAACAGACAAGCATCCTGAGCTCTGAGGATCACCTGGGAAGGAATCCCACTGGAGCATTGCAGCGCACCCAAATCCCTGGGAGTCACTCTGGACCGTGCCCTGACCTACAAGAAGCACTGCCTGAACATCAAGCAAAAAGTGGGTGCTAGAAACAATATCATACGAAAGCTGACTGGCACAACCTGGGGATCACAACCAGATACAGTGAAGACATCTGCCCTTGTGCTGTGCTACTCTGCTGCTGAGTACGCATGCCCAGTGTGGAAAACATCTCACCACGCTAAAACAGTGGATGTGGCTCTTAATGAGACATGCCGCATCATCACGGGGTGTCTGCGCCTTACACCACTGGAGAAACTACACTGCTTAGCCGGTATTGCACCACCTGACATCCACCGGGAAGTAACAGCCAATAGTGAAAGGACCAAGGCAGAGACATCTCCAGCTCATCCCCTGTTTGGGTATCAGCCAGTACGTCAACGACTTAAATCTAGACATAGTTTTCTAAGATCTACAGAGACACTCGCTGGAACACCTCAGCAAGCGAGAGTCCAAAAGTGGCAGGCTCAAACCCAGCACCTCAACCAATAGCTGATACCAGATGAGGGACTCCCCCCTGGGCACACAAAAGACTGGGCGACTTGGAAGGCGCTGAACAGACTGCGCTCTGGCACCACGAGATGCAGAGCCAACCTTAAGAAATGGGGCTACAGGGTGGAATAATCCACAACATGCGAATGTGGAGAAGAGCAAACCACTGACCACCTGCTGCAATGCACCCTGAGCCCTGCCACGTGCACAATGGAGGACCTTCTTGCAGCAACACCGGAGGCACTCCAAGTGGCCAGAGACTGGTCAAAGGACATTTAACCAACTACCAAAGTAGCAAATTTTGTATTTTGTCTGTTTGTTTTGTTCTGTTAGAAATGTAATACAATTGACTGGTTGCCCTGATACGACCAAAATAATAATTTGAAAATACATCCCACAGTCCTAGACACTCGGGAAGTGTTCGACTTGTGATTTTGTGATACAAAATCCAGCATAGAGATCTCGTTTGCTGTGACATACTGTGCTTTTGTGTCAACAACAACAATATACAATAAACAATATATTATAAATAGTAGACTCTCGGTGAATTGGAATTCTCAAGCAACCAATATAATAATAATACTAATAATCAATAAATAATATAATATAAATAGTAGACTCTCGGTGAATTGGAATTCTCAAGCAACCAATATAGTAATAATAATAATATACAATAATAATAATAATATACAATAAATAATATAATATAAATAGTAGACTCTCGGTGAATTGGAATTCTCAAGCAACCAATATAATAATAATACTAATAATCAATAAATAATATAATATAAATAGTAGACTCTCGGTGAATTGGAATTCTCAAGCAACCAATATAGTAATAATAATATACAATAATAATAATAATATACAATAAATAATATAATATAAATAGTAGACTCTCGGTGAATTGGAATTCTCAAGCAACCAATATAATAATAATACTAATAATCAATAAATAATATAATATAAATAGTAGACTCTCGGTGAATTGGAATTCTCAAGCAACCAATATAATAATAATACTAATAATCAATAAATAATATAATATAAATAGTAGACTCTCGGTGAATTGGAATTCTCAAGCAACCAATATAATAATAATACTAATAATCAATAAATAATATAATATAAATAGTAGACTCTCGGTGAATTGGAATTCTCAAGCAACCAATATAGTAATAATAATATACAATAATAATAATAATATACAATAAATAATATAATATAAATAGTAGACTCTCGGTGAATTGGAATTCTTAAGCAACCAATATAATTAACATTATAAAATAAATCAATAATAATAATATAATTATAGACTCTTGGTGAATTGGAATTCTCAAGCCACCAATATAATTATAATATAAATATAATATAAATAATAGACTCTTGGTGAATTGGAATTCTCAAGAAACAATAATAATAATAATAATAATAATAATAATAATAATCAACTTTATTTATAACCCACCACCATCTCCGCAAAGGGGACTCGGGGCGGCTAACATGAGGCCAAGCCCAAAAATAATACAACATAATTAAACACAAAACAGCAAGAGGGAAAAAAACCACATCATAAACAAAATATCAAATGAAATAAAACATTATAAAATAAATAAGTAATAATATAATATAAATAGACTTGGTGAATTGGAATCCTCAAGCAACCAATATAATTATAAGAATAATAAATAATATAAATAGCAGACTCTTGGTTAATTATATATTATTATATATTATAATAATATTTAAAATAAATAAATAACAATATGATATAAATAGTACACTCAGTGAATTGGAATTCTCAAGGAAGCAATATATTATTAATAATAATTATTATTATAATATATAAAATAAATAAGTAATAATATAATATAAATAGTAGACTCGGTGAATTGGAATTCTCAAGCAACCAATATATTATTATTAATAACAATTATAATAATATATAAAATAAATAAAGAATAATATAATATAAATAATAGACTCAGTGAATTGGAATTCTCAAGCAACCATTATTATTATTACATATTATAATAATATATAAAATAAATAATAATAATATAATATAAATAGTAGACTCAGTGAATTGGAATTCTCAAGCAACCAATATATTATTATTATTATTATTATTATTATTATTATTATATACTTTAATAATACATATAATTATAAGATATATATAATTATAAGAATAATAAATAATATAAATAGTAGACTCGGTGAACTGAAATTCTCAAGCAACCAATATATTATTATTATTATTATTATTATTGTATATAAATAAAATAAACAATAATATAATATAAATAGTAGACTCAGTGAATTGGAATTCTCAAGCAATATTATTATTATTATTATTAATTATAATAATATATAAAATAAATAAGTAATAATATAATATAAATAATAGACTCAGTGAACTGGAATTCTCAAGCAACCAATATATTATTATTATTATTATTATTATTATTAATTAATTATATTAATATATAAAATAAATAAGTAATAATATAATATAAATAGTAGACTCAGTGAATTGGAATTCTCAAGCAACCAATATATTATTATATATTACTATTATATATTATAATAATATATAAAATAAAGAATAATATAATATAAATAGTAGACTCATTGAATTGGAATTCTCAAGCAACCAATATATCATATATTATTATTAATTATAATAATAATAATATATAAAATAAATAAGTAATAATATAAATAGCAGAATCAGTGAATTGGAATTCTCAAGCAACCAATATATTATTAATAATAATAATAATTATAATATATAAGTAATAATATAATATAAATAGTAGACTCGGTGAATTGGAATTCTCAAGCAAGCAATATATTATTATTATTATTATTATTATAAATTATAATAATATATAAAATAAATAAGTAATAATATAATATAAATAGTAGTCTCAGTGAATTGGAATTCTCAAGCAAGCAATATATTATTATTATTCTTATTATTAATAATTATAATAATAATATATAAAATAAGTAATAATATAATATAAATAGTAGACTCAGTGGAGTTCTCAAGCAACCAATATATTATTATTATTAATTATAATAATATATAAAACAAATAAGTAATAATATAATATAAATAGTAGACTCATTGAATTGGAATTCTCAAGCAACCAATATTATTTATATATATATAAAGTAATAATATAAATAGTAGACTCAGTGAATTGGAATTCTCAAGCAACCAATATATTCATAATTATAAGTATTATTATTATTAATTATAATAACATATAAAACAAATAAGCAATAATATAATATCAATGATAACATGCCATAATCCCAGGATTGCACCCCCTTATTCTGCCAAAGGAAGGGGGATGATGGGCCTTCCTGTTCCACCCGCCATGATTGTTTTGGGATCCTCCCACAATCCCTTTTTTTCCTTGCAGAGCTCAACTTTTCCTTGGAGAAGTTACTCCCAGAGTTGTTGTTGTTGTTATTATTATTATTGCATTTATTTACACCCCGCTTTGTCCCTCCCTAAAAGAGAACAAGGAAGCAATTGCAAAGCAAGTCCTTTTTTCCTGGAAGGAGAGGCTTGCAATGCACCCAGTTTTATTGTTTTGCAAGGAAATGCAAAATATATATATATTTGCATTTCCTTGCAAAGAAAATATGCCTTGCAAAATAATAATAATAATCTAAAATAAAATAAGGGGGGGGGGCGGCATTGACTTACCCTTTTGGAAAAATAAACCAGATCCTGTTCTGAACGCGTTTTGCAAAAAAAAAGGGGGGAGAAAGGAAGGAGGAAAGAGAGGCAAGGGGCGGGCAAGGAATGGGCCAATGGGAGCGGAGGAGCCCGGACCGACGTCACCGGTTGCTAGGCAGCTTTGGGATCAGGCTCAAAGAGGAAGGAAGCAGAGAGTGACGTCTCTCCCTCTCTATTGTTATTACTATTGTTTGGTTTTGTTTGCAATTGAAAGGCTTGGCTTGTCTCTGTTGCAATGCAAAGCATTTTGGGTTGGGATTTCCATGAGGAAAGAAATGGATAGGACTTGAGAGAAAATCATATTTATTTGCATTGCTTTATATTAGGCTATATTATTGCCATTACATTTATATTATTTGGTATTATTATTTTATTGTTGCCATTATTATTATTATTATTATTATTATTATTATTATTATTAGCATTGCTTAAGACTATTCTATTATGTCATTATACATTATAATATATAATAACATAATAATATGAATTAATGGTAATAATAATAATAGTAAAAATAATTAATCATAACAATAAGTAATGCTAATAATAATAATTACTTATTTACTAATAATAATAATAATACTAATAATAATAATAATGCATTGCTTAATACTATTCTATTATATTATTATACATTATAATATATATTATAATAACATAATAATATGAATTAATGGTAATAATAATAATAATAGTAAAAATAATTAATCATAACAATAAGTAATGCTAATAATAATAATTACTTATTTACTAATAATAATAATAATACTAATAATAATGCATTGCTTAATACTATTCTATTATATTATTATACATTATAATATATATTATAATAACATAATAATATGAATTAATGGTAATAATAATAATAATAGTAAAAATAATTAATCATAACAATAAGTAATGCTAATAATAATAATTACTTATTTACTAATAATAATAATAATACTAATAATAATAATAATGCATTGCTTAATACTATTCTATTATATTATTATACATTATAATATATATTATAATAACATAATAATATGAATTAATGGTAATAATAATAATAATAATAATAGTAAAAATAATTAATCATAACAATAAGTAATGCTAATAATAATAATTACTTATTTACAAATAATAATAATAATACTAATAATAATAATGCATTGCTTAATACTATTCTATTATATTATTATACATTATAATATATATTATAATAACATAATAATATGAATTAATGGTAATAATAATAATAATAATAATAATGGTAAAAATAATTAATCATAATAATAAGTAATGCTAATAATAATAATAATGCATTGCTTAAGACTTCTATTATATTATACATTATAATATATATTATAATAACATAATAATATGAATTAATGGTAATAATAATAATAATGGTAAAAATAATTAATCATAATAATAAGTAATGCTAATAATAATAATAATAATAATAATAATAATAATAATAATAATGCATGGCTGAATACTATTCTATTATATTATTATACATTATAATATATATTATAATAACATAATAATATGAATTAATGGTAATAATACTAATAGTAAAAATAATCATAACAATAAGTAATGCTAATAATAATAATAATGCATTGCTTAAGACTATTCTATTATATTATTATACATTATAATATATATTATAATAACATAATAATATGAATTAATGGTAATAATAATAATAGTAAAAATAATTAATCATAACAATAAGTAATGCTAATAATAATAATGGTAGAGGCAGCTTACAAATGAAATCATTATTATTTGCATTGCTTTATATTAGGCTATATTATTGCCATTATATTTATATTATTTGGTATTATTAATTTTATTGTTGCCATTATTATTATTATTATTATTATTATTATTAGCATTGCTTAAGACTATTCTATTCTATTATTATACATTATAATATATATTATACTAACATAATAATATGAATTAATGGTAATAATAATAGTAAAAATAATTAATCATAACAATATAAGTTTTTAAAATCATTAAGAACATATAATCATCAGTGATTTTCTATTAAGTCATTTTCCAAAAACATTGCAACAATGCAAATTACTAATACCTGCAGCATATAAAATTATTATTATTATTATTATGCTTAAACAATAACTTATACTTGCAGAATAGAAATGTTAAAATACCTATTATTATTATTATTATTATTATTATTATTATTATTATTATATCCTATGCAAACAATATTAATAGCAAAGAAAGGCCTGCAGCAAATAAATATTAAAATAATAATAATGATTGCAACAATATGAATTACAAATACCTTCAGCATATACAATTATTATTATTATTATTATTATTATTATTATTATTATTATTATTAAGCAATAGAAAATACGAATTCATATCTGCAACATATAAATACCTATTATTATTATTATTATTATTATTATTATTATTATTATTATTATATCCTATGCAAACAATATTAATAACTAAGAAAGGCCTGCAGCAAATAAATATTAAAACACTAATAATAATAATTAGATTGCAACAATATGATTTATGAATACCTGCAGCATATAAAATTATCATATTTAAGCAATAGAAAATACTAATTCATACCCGCAGCATAAAAATACCTATTATTATTATTATTATTATTATTATTATTATTATTATTTCCTATGCAAACAATATTAATAACTAAGAAAGGCCTGCAGCAAAATAATATTGAAACACTAATAATAATAATTAGATTGCAACAATATGATTTATGAATACCTGCAGCATATAAAATTATTATTATTATTATTATTATTATTATTATTATTATTATTATATTTAAGCAATAGAAAATACTAATTTATACCAGCAAACAATATTAATAACTAAGAAAGGCCTGCAGCAAATAAATATTAAAATACTACTAATAATAATTAGATTGCAACAATATGAACTACGAGTACCTGCAGCATATAAAATTATTATTATTATTATTATCATTATATTTAAGCAATAAAAAATACTAAATCATACCTGCAGCATATAAATACCTATTATTATTATTATATCCTATGCAAACAATATTAATAACTAAGAAAGTCTTGCAGCCAATAAATATTAAAATACTACTAATAATAATGATAATTAGATTGCAACAATATGAACTACAAATATCTGCAGCATATAAATTATTATTATCATTATTATTATATTTAAGCAATAGAAAAAAATTCTTATTCATACCTGCAGCATATAAATACCTATTATTATTTTATCATATGCAATATTAATTACTAATAAATGCTTGCTATGATGATGAATATTATTATATTTAAGTAATAGAATATCCTAATTTATACCTGCAGCTTATAATTGTTAAAATAATAATAATTTTATTCTATGCAAACAATTATTATTATATCCTATGCAAACAATATTAATAACTAAGGGAGGCCTGCAGCAAATAAATATTAAAATAATGCTACTAATAATAATAATTAGATTGCAACAATATGGATTATGAATACCTGCATTAATTCAAATGCATTATTTTTTTGCATTAATTAATTTTTTACAAAAAAAAGAGGTGACCCCCTTGAAAAGGAAGGGCTTTTTGCATTCTTTCCAGTGCATTAATTTTTTTGCATTAATTAATTGTTGCAAAAAAGGGGATTCCTTTAAAAAAGAAGGGCTTCTTGCATTAATTCAAATGCATTATTTTTTTTACATTTAAGCAATAGAAAATACTAATTCATACCCGCAGCATAAAAATACCTATTATTATTATTATTATTATTATTATTATTATTATTATTATTATTATTATTATATCCTATGCAAACAGTATTAATAACTAAGAAAGGCCTGCAGCAAAATAATATTAATAAAAATAATATAATAAAAATATTTTTTTTGCATTAATTAATTTTTTGCAAAAAAAAAAGAGGCGACCCCCTTGAAAAGGAAGGGCTTTTTGCATTAATTCAAATGCATTAATTTTTTGCATTAATTAATTTTTTGCAAAAAAAGAAGAGGTGACCCCCTTGAAAAGGAAGGGCTTTTTGCATTCATTCCAGTGCATTGAATTTTTTTGCATTAATTAATTGTTGCAAAAAAGGGGATTCCTTTAAAAAAAGAAGGGTTTCTTGCATTAATTCAAATACATTAATTTTTTGCATTAATTAATTTTTTGCAAAAAAAAAGAGGTGACCTCCTTCAAAAGGAAGGGCTTTTTGCATTCATTCCAGTCCATTAATTTTTTTTGCATTAATTAATTGTTGCAAAAAAGGGGATTCCTTTAAAAAAAAGTAGGGCTTCTTGCATTAATTCAAATGCATTAATTTTTTGCATTAATTAATTTTTTGCAAAAAAAAAAAAAGGTGACCTTTTTGAAAAGGAAGGGCTTTTTTGCATTCATTCCAATGCAATCCAGCTTTGCAAAATATAGGCAGATACATTCCAAATGCATGCAAAGCAATGAGTGTCTTTCCTCCTCCTGAAGCTGAGAGAGTGTGACTTGGCTTAAGTAATTAATCCAAGGCATTTCTGTATTGTGCCCTAGCCCTAAGGCCAGGCTCAATTAAGAACTAATTAAGAAAAAAAATTAAAAAATGAGTGGGGTGGGGAAAGTTTTGCAAAACTTTGCAAAAATTTATGTATCTTGGAATAGAAAGGGCCAAAGAGGAAACTCCAATGAGGAGAGGGATGGAAGTGTAGACATTTCCGGCTTCCATGCGAAGGCCCTCTATTTGTGCAGAAAGGCATTAGAGGGGAGGAGCATGCGCACTAGCAGCTCCCATCTCTATGGCATTTTTTTTGCAGGTCGAATGGGAACCGGAAGTGTTGCCTCCGTCCAAAGAGGAGAAGGACGTTGCAAGGTTTGCATTGAGAGTGCTTTCTTGTTGTTTTGGGTTTTTTTGGGGGGGCTAATTAAGGCTCAGTTAATTAATGCACTTGGATTAATTAATGCACACGGAAAAGTAATCGCAGTGCATTAATTTTTTGCAAAAAAAAGGGGATTCCTTTAAAAAGGAATTATTATGTTTTTGCATTAATTAATTTTTTTTTGCAAAAAAAGAGAGGGCTTTTTGCATTCATTAATTTTTGCAAAAAAAAGGAATTCCTTTAAAAAGGGGCTTCTTGCATTAATTCAAATGCATTATTTTTTTGCATTAATTAATTTTTTGCAAAAAAAGACGACCCTTTTGAAAAGGAAGGGCTTTTTGCATTCATTCCAGTGCATTCATTTTTTTTGCATTCATTAATTTTTGCAAAAAAAAAAAGGGGGATTCCTTTAAAAAGGAAGGGCTTCTTGCATTAATTCAAATGCAATATTTTTTTTGCATTAATTAATTTTTTGCAAAAAAAGAAGAGGTGACCCCCTTGAAAAGGAAGGGCTTTTTGCATTCATTCCAGTGCATTATTTTTTTGCATTAATTAATTTTTGCAAAAAAGGGATTCCTTTAAAAAGGAAGGGCTTCTTGCATTACTTCAAATGCATTGATTTTTTCCATTAATTACTTTTTGCAAAAAAAAAGAGGTGACTCCCTTGAAAAGGGCTTTTTGCATTCATTCCAGTGCATTAAATTTTTTGCATTAATTAATTTTTGCAAAAAAAAGGGATCTCTTTAAAAAGGAAGGGCTTCTTGCATTAATTTAAATGCATTAATTTTTTTGCAAAAAAAAAAGGTGACCCCTTTGAAAAGGGTTTCTTGCATTAATTCCAGTGCATTAATTTTTATTTTTTTTGCATTAATTTTTGCAAAAAATGGGAAAGGAGGGTTTGGAAAAAGGATTTCTATTGATGCAATGGGCAAGGCCCTGGTTCATATTATTGGGGTGAATAATCTGCATAATTTATATGCCACACACACACACACACGAAAATTATTTTTACACACATACATACATACTATTAATGGATCATAGGTCATTTGCATATCAAAAATGCAACATAAAAACAAAATATTTCATATTGTTTGAACTTGTTGCACTTTTATATTGCATTTATTGTTATTACAAAATGCAAAACCAAAAACCCAGCATAACAGTACAGCACGATAAAGCACTATAATATAAAATATCAAAAATGAATATAATATAAAAAGCACAGCAAGGTAAAGCAATCGTATAAAAATGCTATGTAAAAGAATTGGCCTGCAGGTCTTGCCTATTAAAAGTCAAGGCAATACCTTTGCTGTAATATAATGTAATGTAATATAATGATGTATTATTACTCTAATACATAATATTATTATGAGTTAATAGGAATACATTATATATTACTATTATATTATTGTGCATTACAAGAATTCATTATATATGACTATTATTGTGCAGTATAAGAATGCATTATATGTGACTATTACATTATTGTGCATTATAAGAATGCAATATATATTACTTTTATATTATTGTGAAATATAAAAATACATTATAAATGACCATTATTGTGCATTATAAGAATGTGTTATATATTACTATTATTGTGCATTATAAGAATGCATTATATATGTCTATTATATTATTGTGCATTGTAATAATGCATTATATATGACTATTATATCGTTGTGCATTATAAGAACACATTATATTTATTTACATTTATTTACATCACTTATATCCCACCCATATCAGCCCGCAGGCGACTCAAGGCGGTCATATATGACTACTATACTATTATATATGACTACTATACTATTGTGCATTATAAGAGTGCATTATATATGACTATTATATTATTGTGAAATATAAAAATACATTATATGTGACTATTATATTATTGTGAAATATAAAAATACATTATATGTGACTATTATATTATTGTGAAATATAAGAATACATTATATATGACATGTTATTGTGAAATATAAAAACACATTATATATGACTATTATATTATTGTGCATTGGAAGAATGCATTATATGTGACTTATATTATTGTGAAATATAAGAATACATTATATATGACAATTACATTCTTATGCATAAGAATACATTATATGTGACTATTACATTGTGCATTGTACGAATGCATTATATGTGACTTATATTATTGTGCATTATAAGAACGCATTATATATGACTATTATATTATTTTGCATTATAAGAATGCATTATATATTACTATTATTTTGCAGTATAAGAATTCATTATATATGACTATTATATTATTGTGCATTATAAGAATATATTGTATATAACATATTGTTCATTATAAGAATGCATTATATATGACTATTATATTATTGTGCATTGTAAGAATGCATTATATATGACTATTATATTATTGTGCATTGTAAGAATGCATTATATATGACTATTATATTATTGTATTGTCGAAGACTTTCATGGCTGGAATCACTCAGTTCTTGTGGGTTTTTTTCAGGCTATATGGCCATGTTCTAGAGGCATTTCTCCTGACGTTTCGCCTGCATCTATGGCAAGAATCCTCAGACGTTTCGCCTGCATCTATGGCAAGCATCCTCAGAGGTGACCTCACCTCTGAGGATGCTTGCCATAGATGCAGGCGAAACATCAGGAGAAATGCCTCTAGAACATGGCCATATAGCCCGAAAAAACCCACAAGAACTGAGTATTATATTATTGTGAAATATAAGAATGCATTATATATGACTATTATATTATTGTGCATTATAAGAATGCATTATATATGACTGTTATTGTGCATTATAAGAATGCATTATATATTACTATTATTTTGCAGTATAAGAATTCATTATATGTGACTATTATATTATTGTGCATTTTATGAATATATTGTATATAACATGTTGACAAGGAATAAAACATGAGCTTGAGTAGTCCAAGAAACAAAGAACAAAACTAGAGCTTGAGTCCATGATAAAATCCCCAAGACTGGTAGCAAAACTTGACTAAGATGTTTGGCTTGACTAAGATAGGACCAGGAACAAGGCAGGAACTTCTTGCTCTATTTGCTATGTCACTTGATCTGAGACCTGAGAGCTATTATTTCCCTAATTAAGGACAGCAATGCATGAAAGCATTTCGTGCCCTTCACAGGCAACCTGAATTTTACTGCTCTCTGGACTATCCTCCTAAAAATCGGATGCCCTGAGAAACTGGTGGACACCCTTGTGGAGCCTATCTCGGTCCCTGCCTCCCTTTCCCATAGCACCTGGAATTCTTCCCCCGTAGGAGCAGCCTTGATTCTCTGTCCAGCCCCACTTCCTTGGATGAGCTCATGTCCTCCTCCCTTCTCTGCCTGTCAGCTTCTAAAATAGTTTTGTTTTCACATAGAGACTCAACCAAATCCTTCCCCCATAGGAGCAGCCTTCATTCTCTGTCCAGCCCCACTTCCTTGGATGAGCTCATGTCCTCCTCCCTTCTCTGCCTGTCAGCTTCTAAAATAGTTTCGTTTTCACACAGAGAATCAGCCAAATCCCCCTCGGTTCTCCCACCCGGGGAATGACCATCCTGTTCCAACATCTCATCTGTCTGAGCACCTCCAGAAGCATCAGGCCCTGCACCCCCAAACCCCTCCTCATCATCTGCCTGAATTACAACAGTCACATCCATTTACACTTTCTGGTCTTCTCTACCTTTCTTCCAGGAGAAGACATGGAAGTCAGAGACCGTAAAAGGACCCTCAAGATTCCTTCTAGGTTGCCTGCTCTTCAGGATGGAATCCACTCTCTGGACATCCCACTAAATCAGGTAAAAGGGGGAAACGCTTCAGGGATTGGGAGCAGAGGGGAATCAGATCTCTTTATCCACAGATTGTGCATCTATGTCAACCATACGGGATGTGGCATTAATATACCATTGTATATTATGGGACGAGTATCCACAGATTTTGTCATCCATGGGGTGGCGGGTGTGTGTTCTGGAACCAAATCCCAATGGATACCGAGGTCCTGCTGTATTTTCCATTTTCTGCAATTCAGTCCAAAGCTTTCCTTGAGGTCCTTCAGGGATTTTGTCATCCATGGAGTGTGTATGTGTTCTGGAACCAAATCCCAATGGATACTGAGGTCCCGCTGTATTTTCCGTTTTCTGCAATTCAGTCCAAAGCTTTCCTTGAGCTCCTTCAGGGATTTTGTCATCCATGGGGTGGGGGGTGGGGGTGTTCTGGAACCAACTCCCAATGGATACCGAGGTCCTTCTGTATTTTCTGTTTTCTGCGATTCAATCCAAAGCTTTCCTTGAGGTCCTTCAGGGATTTTGTCATCCATGGGGTGTGTATGTGTTCTGGAACCAAATCCCAATGGATACTGAGGTCCCGCTGTATTTTCCGTTTTCTGCGATTCAGTCCAAAGCTTTCCTTGAGGTCCTTCAGGGATTTTGTCATATATGGGGTGGCGGGTGTTCTGGAACCAAATCCCAATGGATACTGAGGTTCCGCTGTACAGGGTTAGTCAAAATGAATAGGCCAATAAGAAAATTAATTTTAGACGAATGTATGTTTACTGTAACCCAACCACAGCTACGTAGCGACAGATAAACTATCAAAGTTTTTTTTTTGAGCAACACACATGTACGTTAATGCCGCTAGGCGTCGCTAGGGGTCGCTGTTTTCAAAATGGCGGAATCAAGCAAAGAGAAGGCGTTTTGTGTGATGACATTTGCTAAAACAATGTCAGTAATTACGGTCCAGCGAGAATTTCGAGCCAAGTATGGCAAGGAACCACCTCATCGACATTCCATTGCGAGGTGGGTAAAGCAATTTGAGGAGACGGGCTGCTTATGCAAGGGTAAAACCACAGGACGACCACGTGTCTCCGAAGACACAGTGGAATCCATTCGTGCATCCTTTCAACGAAGTCCCCAGAAGTCGACAAATCGTGTTGCCATGGAATTGAACGTTCCGCAAAAAACTGTGTGGCGCGTGTTACGCAAACGTTTGCAGTTCAAGCCGTATAAATTGCAAATGGTGCAGGCTTTGAAAAAAGGTGACTATTCGAAACGACGCGATTTTTGCGAATCAATGCAGCGAAGACTAGAGGAGGAAGGCTTTGCCAACAGACTGGTCTTCAGTGACGAGGCAACGTTTCACCTGTGCGGGAAGGTCAATAGGCATAATCTCCGCTTTTGGGGATCTGAAAATCCTCATGCCGTATTGGAACATGTAAGGGATTCGCCGAAGGTAAACGTTTTCTGTGCAATAACCAACCGTCACGTGTTTGGCCCATTCTTTTTCGCGGAGAAAACCGTAACAGGCATAGTGTACGCTGACATGTTGTCTGAATGGTTGATGCCACAGTTAGAAGAGATAGTGCCCGATTTCGTATTCCAACAGGACGGTGCCCCTCCGCATTGGCACAACAGTGTACGCGAGTACCTCAACGAACACCTTCCCAGACGTTGGATTGGCCGTGCTGGAGTGACTGATCTTCCATTCCTCCTGTGGCCCCCCAGGTCCCCCGACCTCACACCATGCGACTTTTCTCTCTGGGGGTATGTGAAAGACACTGTGTTCCGACCTCCATTACCGCTGACCTTGGACGACTTAAAACAGCGCATATGTGGACCTTAGGGAAGGCTGAGCGAAGGAAGATCGATGCTTTTGAGCTGTGGTGTTGGAGGAAAGTGCTGAGAGTGCCTTGGACTGCGAGAAGATCCAACCAGTCCATCCTCCAGGAAATAAAGCCCGGCTGCTCACTGGAGGGAAAGATACTAGAGACAAAGTTGAAGTACTTTGGCCACATCATGAGGAGACAGGAAAGCCTAGAGAAGACAACTATGCTGGGGAAAGTGGAAGGCAAAAGGAAGAGGGGCCGACCAAGGGCAAGATGGATGGATGGCATCCTTGAAGTGACTGGACTGACCTTGAGGGAGCTGGGGGTGGTAACGGCCGACAGGGAGCTCTGGCGTAGGCTGGTCCATGAGGTCACGAAGAGGCGGAGACGACTGAACGAATGAACAACAACATGTGCTGCATTCGATGCCATTACGTCGGATGTGCTGCAACGGATGTGGAATGAACTGGACTATCGCTTGGACATCTGCCGTGTCACACGGGGCGCCCATATCGAACATCTCTGAAGGTGAGACAAAACTTTGATAGTTTATCTGTCGCTACGTAGCTGTAGTTTGGTTACAATAAACATACATTCGTCTAAAATTAATTTTCTTATTGGCCTATTCATTTTGACTAACCCTGTATTTTCCGTTTTCTGCTATTCAGTCCAAAGCTTTCCCTGAGGTCCTTCAGGGATTTTGTCATCCATGGGGTGGTGTGTGTGTGTTCTGGAACCAAATCCCAATGGATACCGAGGTCCTTCTGTATTTTCTGTTTTCTGCGATTCAATCCAAAGCTTTCCTTGAGGTCCTTCAGGGATTTTGTCATATATGGGGTGGCGGGTGTTCTGGAACCAAATCCCAATGGATACCGAGGTCCCGATGTATTTTCTCCTTCCTGAGATTCAGTCCAAAGCCCAAAGCTTTCCTTGAGGTCCTTCAGGGATTTTGTCATCCATGGGGTGGTGGGTGTGTGTCCTGGAACCAAATCCCAATGGATACCGGGATCCCACTGTATTTTCCGTTTTCTGCGATTCAGTCCAAAGCTTTCCTTGAGGTCCTTCAGGGATTTTGTCATCTATGGGGTGGCGGGTGTTCTGGAACCAAATCCCAATAGATACCGAGGTCCCGTTGCATTTTCTGTTTTTTGCGATTCAGTCCAAAGCTTTCCTTGAGGTCCTTCAGGGATTTTGTCATCCATGGGGTGTGTATGTGTTCTGGAACCAACTCCCAATGGATACCGAGGTCCCACTGTATTTTCCGTTTTCTGTGATTCAATCCAAAGCTTTCCTTGAGGTCCTTCAAGAATTTTGTCATCCATGGGGTGGTGTGTGTGTGTGTTCTGGAACCAACTCCCAATGGATACCGAGGTCCCGCTGTATTTTCTGTTTTCTGCGATTTAGTCCAAAGCTTTCCTTGAGGTCCTTCAGGGATTTTGTCATCCATGGGGTGGGGTGCGTGTGTTCTGGAACCACATCACAATGGATACCGAGGTCCCGCTGTATTTTCCATTTTCTGCTATTCAGTCCAAAGCTTTCCTTGAGGTCCTTCAGGGATTTTGTCATCCATGGCGTGGTGTGTGTGTGTTCTGGAACCAAATTCCAATGGATACCGAGGTCCCGCTGTATTTTCTGTTTTCTGCAATTCAGTCCAAAGCTTTCCTTGAGGTCCTTCAGAGATTTTGTCATCCATGGGGTGGTGTGTGTGTGTTCTGGAACCAAATCCCAATGGATACCGAGGTCCCAATGTATTTTCTCCTTGCAACCAACTTGAGGTCCTTCAGGAGAACTTCCGTCTACATTAACTTTCCTTTGATTCTTTGATTTTGTGCATTGTTTCTGTTTCAGAATCTTGTGACCATTAAGAAAGAACCCGAATCTTCCACAGGAGAAGAATGGATCCCAACAGATCCAAAAGAGAGTATGCCGCTTATGGAAGACAAGAGTGTTCAGACTCTGTTGAACATTAAGAAGGAGCCCGAGTCGTCCGTAGAGGTGGAATGGATCCCACCAGATCCAAGAAAGAGCTTTCAGAATCTGGTGGCCATTAAGAAAGAGACCGAGGAGAAATGGAGTGTGCCATATCCAAGAGACAAAACGAAGTGCGTGAAAGTGGAGAGTTTTGAGGATCCGGTGACCATCAAAAGAAAGCTCAGGTCTTCCACAGAAAAGCGATGTACCCCACCAGGTCCAAGGAAGAGTCGATTGCACATGAAAGTTGAGAGTTGTGAGGATCCTGTGACCCTTAAGAGAGAAGCTGAGCCTTCTGCAGAGGAGGAATGGACCTCGACGGATCCCGGAGAGAGCACTCTGCTCATGGAAGTCGTGGAGGAGAGTTTTGAGGACGTTGTCTCTCCAACTCAAGGTACCTCTTTCTTTTCCATGGAATGGGAAATACCAAAATGCTGCCATTCTTTTGTGGGATCGGTGCACAATGGGAGGGCCATGGAGGGTAACAAAATCTAATCCGAGTTTTAGTTTTCTGGGCATCACCATGTACCTAAGGTAGTACCCGGGCATCACCGGGTACTAGCTTAGGTACCTGGTGATGCCCAGAATAAGGATTCTGTAACAATAATTATCAGAAGTAGTCATGGTTCATTTTGGATTTTAGGAATGTAGAAGGATGTGGTTAAATTACAATTCCCATTATCATCTGTCATTGCCTCCAGACCGCACCAGTAATTAAAACTGGTCATGATGGGTATGTGTGCCAGGTTTGGTTCAGATCCATCGTCAATCAGGATCACTGTGCTTTCTGGATGTGGGTTGACTACAATTTCCATCATCCTCTGTCATTGCCCTCAAACACCCACAAGTATTTTTGTTGGCCACGATGGGAATGTGTGCCAGGTTTGGTCCAGATCCATCATTGGTGAGGGTTAGAGTAATGTCTGGAAGAGGGAGCCATCTTGGAATTTGGAAAATTTAACCTGTGGGAACAAGGATTGGAGATACGACTTCATTGGAAACCTCTTCTCCTCATGATAATAACTCTTCCAGGACTGGATCTATTTGTCATGACCGTCTTTCCTGGTTTTGTTTGGAACCAGAAAAGTAGACCATGCCTGGGCCTGCCTTGGCATACTTGAAGCAAGGGAGAGGGTTTCTATGGAAACGGGAGCAGTGAAGGGGAAGGGCCAGGGTGAGGGATAGGAGGTGCGAAGGAAAGAAACTGTCAGTTGGAACTTTGTTTGTAACCACACTCTATGCTTTGAGAAATAAAGCCTTTCCACTCTGTTTATGAGGTGATTTCTTCACCAGAAAGCTGCAGATCAGGACATAAAGTTCCTGTCTTTGATTCACTAGGTAGGCAGCGAGCTGGGCTGAAGGTCAGGAGCCCACCCTGACCCAGTAAATTAACCTTTTGGTTGGCAAGATTTTCTGCAGCTGTGCTAAAGCCGGTTCTCAACTAGGAGTCGTTTCAAAGTTGGATGTGTGTATAAAAGTAGGTTTTTTAGAGCTGGAGAAAGGAGAAAGTAGGCTTTCTAAGAACTGGAGAAAGGAAAATGCAGGAGGGTAGCATCCCCTATGACAGCTGGGCATACTTGAAGCAAGGGAGATGGTTTCTATGGAAATGGGAGCAGTGAAGGGGAGGAGCCAGGGTGAGGGATAGGAGGTGAGAGGGAAAGAAACTAGAAGCCCCCGGTGGCGCAGTGGGTTAAACCCCTGTGCCGGCAGGACTGAAGACTGACAGGTTGCAGGTTCGAATCCGGGGAGATGTGGATGAGCTCCCTCTATCAGTTCCAGCTCCTCATGCGGGGACATGAGAGAAGCCTCCCACAAGGATGATAAAAACATCAAATCATCCTGGCGTCCCCTGGGCAACATCCTTGCAGATGGCCAATTCTCTCACACCAGAAGTGACTTGCAGTTTCTCAAGTCTCTCCTGACACGACAAAAAAAAAGGGGGGGGGGGGAGAAACTGTCAGTTGGAACTTTGTTTGTAACTGCACTGTATGCTTTGAAAAATAAAGCCTTCCCACTCTGTTTGTGAGGTGATTTCTTCACCAAAAAGCTGCAGATCAGGACATAAAGTTCCTGTTTTTGATCCACTAGGTAGGCGGCAAGCTGGAAATGGGAGCAGTGAAGGGGAGGAGCCAGGGTGAGGGATAGGAGGTGAGAGGGAAATAAACTGTCAGTTGGAACTTTGTTTGTAACCGCACTGTATGCTTTGAGGAAATAAAGCCTTCCCACTCTGTGAGGTGATTTCTTCACCAGAAAGCTGCAGATCAGGACATAAAGTTTCTGTTTTTGATCCACTAGGTAGGCGGCGAGCTGGGCTGAAGGTCGGGAGCTCACCCTGACCCAGTAAATTAACCTTTTGGTTGGCAAGATTTACAGCTGTGCTAAAGCCGGTCCTTAACTAGGAGTTGTTTCAAAATTGGATGTATGTATAAAAGTAGACTTTCTAAGAATTGGAGAAAGGAAAATGCAGGAGGGTAGCATCCCCTATGACAGCTGGGCATACTTGAAGCAAGGGAGATGGTTTATAAGGAAATGGAAGCAATGAAAGGGAGGAGCCAGGGTGAGGAGGAAAGAAACTGTCAGTTGGAACTTTGTTTGTAACCGCACTGTATGATTTGAGGAAATAAAGCCTTCTCACTCTGTTTGTGAGGTGATTTCTTCACCAAAAAGCTGCAGATCAGGACATAAAGTTCCTGTTTTTGATCCACTAGGTAGGTGGCAAGCTGGAAATGGGAGCAGTGAAGGGGAGGAGCCAGGGTGAGGGATAGGAGGTGAGAGGGAAATAAACTGTCAGTTGGAACTTTGTTTGTAACCGCACTGTATGCTTTGAGGAAATAAAGCCTTCCCRCTCTGCTTGTGAGGTGATTTCTTCACCAGAAAGCTGCAGATCAGGACATAAAGTTTCTGTTTTTGATCCACTAGGTAGGCGGCGAGCTGGGCTGAAGGTCGGGAGCTCACCCTGACCCAGTAAATTAACCTTTTGGTTGGCAAGATTTACAGCTGTGCTAAAGCCGGTCCTTAACTAGGAGTTGTTTCAAAGTTGGATGTATGTATAAAAGTAGGCTTTCTAAGAATTGGAGAAAGGAAAATGCAGGAGGGTAGCATCCCCTATGACAGCTGGGCATACTTGAAGCAAGGGAGATGGTTTCTATGGAAATGGAAGCAATGAAAGGGAGGAGCCAGGGTGAGGAGGAAAGAAACTGTCAGTTGGAACTTTGTTTGTAACCGCACTGTATGATTTGAGGAAATAAAGCCTTCTCACTCTGTTTGTGAGGTGATTTCTTCACCAAAAAGCTGCAGATCAGGACATAAAGTTCCTGTTTTTGATCCACTTGGTAGGCGGCAAGCTGGGCTGAAGCTCAGGAGTTCAGCAGGAGGGTAGCATCCCCTATGACAGCTGGGCATACTTGAAGCAAGGGAGATGGTTTCTATGGAAATGGGAGCAGTGAAGGGGAGGAGCCAGGGTGAGGGGAAAAGAAACTGTCAGTTGGAACTTTGTTTGTAACCGCACTGTATGCTTTGAGGAAACAAAGCCTTCCCACTCTGTTTGTGAGGTAATTTCAGCAGAAAGCTGCAGATCAGGGGATATATGCTAGTAATGATAACAATTTGGATTTGTTTTCCTCCTTTGCTGACCTCCTCTTCCAAAACTTCTATCCCTTCAGATGATTCCAAGGAGAAGAGCAAAACAGATGAAAACGAGAAGGAGGCGGTTGAAGAAAACCAGGATTGGGACTACGATACAGTTTACATTTCTTCCGAAGGGACTTACCTCCCCAAAACCCCGTTACCCGAAGCGAATCCCAACGGAAGCGAGAGAAGCCCGCCAAAGCTTTCTGAGTTTGAACGGAGCTTCCTCCAGCATCTCTGCCACACGAAAGCGGAGAAAGGCCCCGCGGGAGAGAACGCGCACAAGTGTGCGGACTGCGGGAAGACCTTCAACTTCAGCGCCAACCTGAAGCTGCACAAAAGGTTCCACGTCAAGGAGAAGCCCTTCGAGTGCCTCGACTGCGGGAGGCACTTCACCTACAAGTCGAACCTCGAGTCGCACCAGATCATCCACTCGGGAGAGAAGCCCTTCCGCTGCGACGAATGCGGGCGCTGCTTCAGCTACAGCTGGACCCTCCAGAAGCACCAGAAGTCTCATGAGGCTAGAAGGGGATTCGTAGAACCCAAAGGGGTTCCGGCGTGGATCGGGCCTCGTGATTCGTACAACCGAGGGATGAACCCAGCTATGCGTCCCAACACCAGTAAACCCACCGAAGCAGTAGAGTTCCCACAGCTGTCAACTCTTCGGTGGAGCCAACAGGGCTACTCAGTTGGGAATAAATAAGCCAGTAGGATTCGACCCAAGGGAGTTAATAGGGTGACACTCTTCTCGTTCCTCAAAGTTGGTGGTTGGGGAGTTGTAGTTTACCAGCATTCCAAGATGCCGTGCAATGTCAACCCCTGGCTTTAAGGGTATGGACAACTTTGACTTATAAGATAAGCCTTAATATTGGAAGGTCTAGATCAGTGTTTCCCAATCTGGGGGTCGGGACCCCTCGTGGGGTCACAAAGGGGGTGTCAGAGGGGTCGCCCAAGACCATCAGAAAACACAGTGTTTTCTGTTGGTCTTGGGGGTTCTCTGTGGGAAGTTTGGCCTAATTCTATTCTTGGTGGGGTTCAGAATGCTCTTTGATTGTAGGTGAACTATAAATCCCAGCTACTACAACTCCCAAATGTTGAGGTCTATTTTCCCCAAATTCCACCAGTGTTCACATCTGGGCATAATGGGTATTTGTGGCAAGTTTGGTCCAGATCCATCATTGTTTGAGTCCACAGAGTGCTCTCTGGATATAAGTGAACTATAACTTCCAAACTCAAGATCAGTGCCCACCAAACTCTTCTAGTTGGTCATGGGAGTTCTGTGTGCCAAGTTTGGTCCTAGTCTCCAGGGCAGCAGAAAACAAGCTTGCTCCACAGTGCTCTCTGGATGTTAGTGAACTACAACTCCCAAACTTAAGGACAATATCCATCAAACCCTTCCAGTTGGTTATGGGAGTTCTGTGTGCCAAGTTTCATTCAATTTCCTCGTTGAGGGAGTTCAGAATGCTCTTTGATTGTAGGTGAACTATAAATCCCAGCTACTACAACTCCCAAATGTCAAGGTCTATTTTCCCCAAACTCCAACAGTGTTCACATCTGGGCATATTGAGGATTGGTGCCAAGTTTGGTCCAGATCCATCATTGTTTGAGTCCACAGTGATCTCTGGATGTAGGTGAACTACAACTCCCAAACTTAAGGACAGTATCCACCAAACCATTCTAGTCGGTCATGGGAATTCTTTGTGCCAAGTTTGGTTCCATTCCATCATTGGTGGAGTTCAGGATGCTCTTTGATTGTAGGTGAACTATAAATCCCAGCAACTACAACTCCCAAATGACAAGATCAATCCCCAGTAGCAACGAAAATAATGTTATGGTTGGGGGGTCACCACATGAGGACCTGTATTAAGGGGTCGCGGCATTAGGAAGGTTGAGAACCACCACTGGCTTATAAGATAAGCCTGAATCTATATCAGAAGGCCTAGATCCTTTTGGGCATGGCTGAGAATTGTGTGGTTGGTGGGCCACATTTTGTGTGTGTCTCCCCCCTCCCAGATTATCCTTCAATACTCCTTTTCCACCCATGACTGAAAATAAGCCATGATGTGCCCCCCATTTTCAAGGCAACACCTTAATAGACTTTCAAGGACTGGAGTTGGGTCCATGGTGGCCCACCTAAGGCGGCCATAAGGAAAGGTCTACAAGTTTGGCTACAGAGATATCATTAAGTTTGTTGACAAGTTTTTGTTTTTTTTATGCTGCCGTGTTGTAGGTTTTGTTCGGTTGTGTTTGATTAAAGGAGTCGACTTATTTCTTTTTCTTTGCTCCAAATATTTTTTATTAAACATTTACAAGGAAAGTAAGGGATGGGGTGACAAGGGAAGGAAAAAGAAAAAAAAATGGGAAATAATAGATTTTTGGAAAATCTATATAAATAAAAATGTAATGTTGGTTTGTGGGATGAACAGAACTCAAAAACCACTGGGCGAATCGACACCAAATCTGGACACAAGACACCTCTCAGGCCAACGAATGACCATCACTCATAAAAACACAAAAACACAGCAGAAGAGACTTTAAAACTCAAAAAATAAAAAATACATTATAGTGCATGCACAAAACTAAATATATGCACAAACACACATATATACACAAATATATACACAAAATACATAGACTAGGCCACAGCAACACATGGCAGGGGATGGCTAGAATACAAATAATGTACAAATAATGACCATCACACAGAAAAACACAGCAGAAGGGACTTAAAAGGTCAAAAACAGCTAAACGACGATACAGAAAAAAAGGGCTAGGAAGAGGGAGGGAAGGAAGGAAGGGGAGAAAGAAAAAAAGAGAAGGAGGGAAGGAAAGGAATGAGAAAGAAGCATGGAAGCAAAGGAAGGAAAAAGGCAGAAAGGAAGAGGAAGGAAGGGAAAAGGGAAGGAAAGAAAAAGGAAGGAAAGGGAGTGAAGGAAGGAGGGAAAGGAGAGAAAGGGAAGGAAAGAGGTAGAGAAGAAAGGAAGGAAAAAAGGAAAGGTGGGAAGGGAAGAAAAGGAAGGATGGAAGCAAAAAAGTGAAGGAAGGAAAGAGGTAGAGAAGGAAGAATGGAGAGAAAGGAAGGGAGAGGAAAGGGAAGGAAAGAAAGGTGGAGAAGGAAGGGAAGGATGGAAGCAAAAAGTGAAGGAAGGAAAGGTAGAGAAGGAAGTAGGGAGAGAAAGGAAGGACGAGAAAAGGGGGAAGGAAAGAAAGTGGCGGAGAAGGAAGGAAGAGAAGAAAAGAGGGAGCGAAGGAAGGAGGGAAAGAAGGAGAAAGGGAAGGAAGGGGCAGAGAAGGATGAAAGGAGAGAAAGAGGAAGGAAAAGAAAAAGGGAAGGAAAGGTGGAGAAGGAAGGATGGAAGCAAAGAGCGAAGGAAGGAAAAGAAAGAGGTAGAGAAGGAAGAAAGGTGAGAAAGTGAGGAAAAGAAAAAGGGAGGAGGAAAGAGGTGGAGAAAGAAGGAAGGAGAGAAGGAAGGAGGGAAAGGAGAGAAAGAGGGTGGAAAGGAAAGAGAAAGGGATAGAAGCAAAGAGCAAAGGAAGGAGAGAAGGAAGAAAAGAGCCAGTGAAAGAGGGAGGGAAGGAAAGAGAAGGAAGGATGGATGGAAGCAAAGAGCGAGGGAAGGATGGAAGCAAAAAGTGAAGGAAGGAAAGAGAGAAGGAAGAAAGGAGAGAAAGTGGGAGGAAAGAAAGGTGGAGAAGGAAGGAAGGAGAGAAGAAAAGGGATGGAAGGAAGGAGAGACTGAAGGAAGGAAGGAAAGGTAGAGAAGGAAGAAAGGAGAGGAAGAAAAAGAAAAGGGGGAGGAAGAAAAAGAAGGAAGGGAATAAGAAAATGGAAGGAAGGAGGGAAAAAAGAGAAAGGGAGGGAAGGATAGAGAGAAGGAAGGATAGAAGCAAAAAGTGAAGGAAGGAAGGAAAGAGGTAGAGAAGGAAGAAAGGAAAGAAGAGAAAGAAGGAAGGAAAGAAGAAAAGGGATGGAAGGAAGGAGGGAAAGGAGAGAAAGAGGGAGGGAAGGTTGGTCACAGCAATGTGTGTAGGATACAGCTTGTAATAATATAGTTCAGTAACTATACAGATGCAATACTGTTAAAATACAAATATCATACATCAGTGATAAGACTGTGACACAAGATTGCATCCTCATAAATACATTAAACTATATATATCCTGGGGGGCTGGACTGGATGTCCTTGAGGGTCCCCTCCTAGGATGCCTTGGCTTGGCTTCTGCCCTTCTGGAGCATCTTTTGCTGTGGGAGGCCAAAGAGGAAAAGCAAGCCAGGGAGGGAAGGAGGCCTTAACACTTCCGGCTCCCATGCGAACTCCCTCTTGTGCATGATTGAAGGTTTTGGAGCATGGAGCATGCACACTGGCTCTCCCTTTATGGCTCTCTGCAGGTCGCTTGGGAACCTGAAGTGTTGCTTCCGCTTGCCTTTTGTGCCCAGGAAGGAAGGACCTTGCAAGGTTTGCATGGAGGGGGTGTCCTTGGTGGCTTTGTCTTGGGAGGGGGCTCATTAAGGGTCTGCTAATTAACTCCCTGGGATCAATGCAAACAGGAAAAGGGACCCCCCTTGTGCATTGATCCCAGTGCATTAGTTAATTGTTGCAATGATTCATGATATAAATAAGGAGGGGATGCCATTCAAAAACAAAGGCCATGGTCTCCTCCTGGGATGGGACTGGGAGGCCCAGTTTGGCAGTGGATCTGACCCAGATGGTGATACTGGGGGGTTCCTGTTGGACTCCTTGGCCTGTGGGATCCCCCCAGATTCAATTCTGTCCCCCATGCTCTTTAATATTTACATGAAACTGCTGGGAGAGATCATTCAGAGCTTTGGAGTGCGGTGACATATATATGCAGATGACACCCAACTCTATGACTCCTTTCCACCAAAACATGGCATTATACTAAATGTCCTTTGACCATAAGCTGCCCACTTGGAGTGCCTCTGGTGTCGCTGTGAGAAGGTCCTCCCTTGTGCATGTTGCAAGGCTCAGACTGCATTGTAGTAGGTGGTCTGTGGTTTGCTCTTCTCCACACTCGCATGTCGTGGACTCCACTTGGTGGCCCCATTTCTTGAGGTTGGCTCTGCATCTCGTGGTGCCAGAGCGCAGCCTGTTCAGAACCTTCCAAGTCGCCCAGTCTTCTGTGTGTCTTTCCTTTGGTATCAGCCATTGGTTGAGGTTCTGGGTTTGAGCCTGCCACTTTTGGACTCTTGCTTGCTGGGGTGTCCCTGCAAGCATCTCTATAGATCTTAGAAAACTATTTCTAGATTTAAGTCATTGACGTGCTGGTTGATACCCAAACAGGGGATGAGCTGGAGATATCTCTGCCTTGTTCCTTTCGGTATTGACTGCTACTTCCCGGAAGATGTCAGGTGGTGCAATACTGGCTAAACAGTGTAATTTCTCCAGTGGTGTAGGGCGCAGGCACCCCCTCATAATGCGGCATGTCTCATTCAGAGCCACATCCGCTGTTTTAGCATGGTGAGACGTGTTCCACACTGGGCATGCGTACCGAGCAGCAAAGCACAAGGGCAGATGTCGTCACTGTGTCTGGTTGTGATCCCCAGGTTGTGCCAGCTAGCTTTTGTATGATATATTGCCATACATATATGTAGATCTATATATTATATCTATATAAAGAATATAATATAAATATATATCACAGGAAGAATATTTTTGGACACATTAATTATATCATATGTGTGTGTGTATATATACACACATATATAATGTTTGTATAAGTATATGTAAACAAACAATATGTATATACATGATGTATATGTGTATATATATATGTGTGTATATATATCTCATATGTATGTATATATATACATATATATATATAATGTTTGTATAAATATATATAAACATAAACCATATATATATGGAGAAAGATCATATACACATAGTGTACATATCTATATGAATATCTCTATATTATATCTCTATACATAATATCATATATATATCACAGGAAGAATATTTCTGGACGCATTAATTAAATTGTGCATTTGTATATATAATGTGTGTATAATGTGTGCATAAGTATATGTATATGTAAATTTTTAATATATATATATGGAGAAACATAAATAATATATATAATGTCTAGTTGTGATCCCCAAGATGTACCAGCCAGCTTTTGTATGATGTATTGCCATACATATATGAAGATCTATATATTATATCTATATAAGTAATATAATATATATATCACAGGAAGAATATTTTTGGACACATTAATTTTATCATATGTGTGTGTATATAATGTTTGTATAAGTGTGTGTGTATATATATATATATATATATATATGGAGAAACATCATATACATATAGTGTACATATCTATATATTATATCCATATAAATTATAGATATATATATATCTCACAGGAAGAATGTTTTTAGACACATTAATTATATTGTGTGTGATTGTGTGTGTGTGTGTGTGTGTGTATATATATATATATGTAATGTGTGTATTATATGTATATGTAAGTGTGTGTATATATATAATTAAACATATACATATAATGTACATATCTATATATTATATCTATATATTATATCTATATAAATAATATTATATATCTCTTTCACAGGAAGAATGTTTTAGACACATTAATTATATTGTGTGTGACTGTCTCTGTGTGTGTGTGTGTGTATATATATACTGTATATATGTAATGTGTGTATTATATGTATATGTAAGTGTGTTTGTGTGTGTGTGTGTGTGTGTGTATATATATATATATATATGTAATGTGTGTATTATATGTATATGTAAGTGTGTGTATATATATAATTAAACATATACATATAATGTACATATCTATATATTATATCTATATATTATATCTATATAAATAATATTATATATCTCTTTCACAGAAAGAATGTTTTAGTCACATTAATTATATTGTGTGTGACTGTCTCTGTGTGTGTGTGTGTGTATATATATATATATATATGTAATGTGTGTATAAGTATATGTATATGTAAGTGTGTTTGTGTGTGTGTGTGTGTGTGTGTGTATATATATATTAGTGGAGAAACATAGATAATATATATAATGTACATATCTATATGAATATATATAATAGAATATAAAACAACATATATATCAATGGAGATTTTTTTTTCAGACACACATATAATATATTTATATCTGTATGTACCGTATATTCTGGCATATAAGACGACTGGGCGTATAAGATGACCCCCAACTTTTCCAGTTAAAATATAGAGTTAAGACAACTCCCATGCGTAAGACTACAACCACGTATAAGACGACCCCTGACTTTTGAGAAGATTTTCTTGGGTTAAAAAGTAGTCTTATACGCCAGAATATACTGTATATAGAATATAATGTTTATATATCAATGGAGATAGTTTTTTTTTCCAGACACACATATAATATACTTATATCTGTATGTATATAGAATATTATTTATTTATTTACTTACTTACTTACTTACTTTGCTTATATCCCGCTGTATCTCAAGCCCGAAGGCGACTCACGGCGGTTCACAAACAGTAGAAACAGTAGAAACAGCAGTGGTTCCATACAACATATAACAATTGACTTAACACATTATCCATAAATTACCCATAAGCAATTACAATGCACAATTATTACAAAAAACAACCGTACCCAATCTTCTCATCATCCAAGTGTAGTCCAGGTTCGTCGTCCATTGTTCCATTCCTATGTTCCATTACCAGATTGCCCTAAATTACTCAAACGCCTGCACAAACATCCAGGTCTTCACCTTTTTGCGGAATACCATTAGAGATGGTGCTAGTCTAATGTCCGTAGGAAGGGCGTTCCACAGCCGAGGAGCCACCACCGAGAAGGCCCTATCTCTCGTCCCCGCCAGCCGAGCTTGAGAAGCAGGCGGGATCGAGAGCAGGGTCTCCCCAGAAGATCTCAAACTCCTGGTGGGTTCATAGGCAGAGATGCGGTCAGATAGGTAGCTTGGGCCGGAACCGTTTAGGGCGTTAAAGGCCAACGCCAGCACTTTGAATTCAGCCCGGTAGCAGATCGGTAGCCAGTGGAGTTGGCGCAACAGGGGGGTTGTATGCTCCCTGCGCTCCGCTCCTGTTAAAATCATGGCTGCCGAGCGTTGGGCTAGTTGGAGCTTCCGAGCTGTCTTCAAAGGCAACCCCACATAGAGAGCGTTGCAGTAGTCTAAACGGGATGTAACCAGAGTGGACTACCGTGGCCAAGTCAGACTTCCCAAGGTACGGGCGCAGCTGGCGCACAAGCTTTAGCTGTGCAAATGCTCCCCTGGTCACCGCCGAAACCTGGGGTTCCAGGCTCAGCGATGAGTCCAGGGTCACACCCAAGCTGCGAACTATATATATATTAGTGGAGAAACATAGATAATATATATAATGTACATATCTATATGAATATATATAATAGAATATAAAACAACATATATATCAATGGAGATTTTTTTTTCAGACACACATATAATATACTTATATCTGTATGTATATAGAATATAATGTTTATATATCAATGGAGATAGATTTTTTTTCCAGACACACATATAATATACTTATATCTGTATGTATATAGAATATAATGTTTATATATCAATGGAGATAGATTTTTTTTCCAGACACACATATAATATACTTATATCTGTATGTATATAGAATATAATGTTTATATATCAATGGAGATAGATTTTTTTTCCAGACACACATATAATATACTTATATCTGTATGTATATAGAATATAATGTTTATATATCAATGGAAATAGTTTTTTTTTCCAGACACACATATAATATACTTACATCTGTATGTATATAGAATATAATGTTTATATATCAATGGAGATAGTTTTTTTTTCCAGACACACATATAATATATTTATATCTGTATGTATATAGAATATAATGTTTATATATCAATGGAGATAGATTTTTTTCAGGCACATTAGTTTTATATGTATAGAATTACAGAATCTTATGGGAATATCTGCCATTGATCCTGGTTAAAGGCAAAGGAGGGTTGTAAAAGTTGGCCTGAGTTTGGGAAATTGGAGTTTCTATTATTATTATTACTATTATTATTATTACTATTTATTTTTTAGGAAAGGAATATTTCCAGGGCTCTGCAATCGAGAGAAAGAGGTGCTGTGGAAGAATTGCTGTTTGCATTCAGCCAGGGCAGTTGTGGTATCAAACTGTGTTAATTCATTTTACTCCCTCCCCTTTACATAGATACCCACACACGTATAAACACACGTATAAACACACATATGAGAGTCAAAGTGACTTTCAAATGTTACAAACTTGGATTTGTAAAAAGACAAACCAGTGTGCTCTATAATACAGATGTGAGTGTATTTGAAATCTGCAATTCTTCAATCTAGGCAAACATTACTATTTCATGCACAAAATAATTTTAATATTTAATATTTCTGACAGAAGCATCTCTATATTGTGTTTGTGTTTAATTCTGTTTTAATGGTTGCGTGTTTGCATATTTTAAATTGTACACTAATACTTCTTGTCAAGCTGCTTTGAGCTTTCTTTGGGGAGATAAAGCAGGGTATAAATAATAATAATAATAATAATGATGGGTTGTTATAGGGTTTTTCGGGCTATATGGCCATGTTCTAGAGGCATTCTCTCCTGACGTTTCGCCTGCATCTGTGGCAAGCATCCTCAGAGGTAGTGAGGTGAAAACGTCAGGAGAGAATGCCTTTAGATCATGGCCATATAGCCCGAAAAAACCTACAACAACCCAGTGATTCCAGCCATGAAAGCCTTCGACAATATCAACAACAACAACAACTATTATTATTATTATTATTATTATTATTATTGTCGATGGCTTTCATGGCCGGAATCACTGGGCTGTTGTAGGTTATTATAACAACAACGATAACAACTATAATAATAATAATAATAATAATAATTATTATTATTATTATTATTATTATATGAGTTAACAAGAAAAACCACATGACTGTTGAATTGACTTTATGACCAGTATCAAAATCTAAAGTACACTCTTGACTATTATTATTATTATTTTTCAATCAATGTAAATAATAATAACAATGACAATAAAAATGGTTGAATCGACCTTATGGCCAATGTCAAAATCTAAAGTATGGACTTGACCCTTATTATTTTTATTATTATAATTATTTAATAAACAACAACAATAACATAAAAAATAGATTATATTGCTGTTGAATTGACTTTACTGCCAGTGTCAGACCCATATTATTATTGTATTATTATTATTATTATTATTATTATTATTATTATTAAATAATAGGGCTACATGGCTGTTGAATTGACTTAACTGCCACTGTCAGACACATATTATTATTGTATTATTATTATTATTATTATTATATAATAWTAWTAWTAWTAATAATAATAGGGCTACATTGCTGTTGAATTGACTTWACTGCCASTGTCAGACACATATTATTATTGTATTATTATTYTTATTATTATTATTATTATTATTATTATTATTAAATAATAGGGCTACATGGCTGTTGAATTGACTTAACTGCCAGTGTCAGACACATATTATTCTATTATTATTATTATTATTATTAAATAATAGGGCTACATTGCTGTTAAATTGACTTTACTGCCAGTGTCAGACACATATTATTATTATTATTATTATTATTATTAAATAATAATAATAATAATAATAATAGGGCTACATAGCTGTTGAATTGACTTTACTGCCAATGTCAAAATCCAAAGTACAGTCTTGATGCATATTATTATTATTATTATTATTAAATAATAATAATAATAATATGTGTCTGACACTGGCAGTAAAGTCAATTTATTATTTACATAATAATAATAATGATAATAATAATAATAGGACTACATAGCTGTTGAATTGATTTTACTGCCAATGTCAAAATCTAAAGTACGGTCTTGATGCATATTATTATTAATTATTATTATTATTATGTAATAAATAAATAAATAAATAAGAGGGCTACATTGTTGTAGAATTGACTTTATTTTCATTGTCAATGAATTGATAAAACTTTTGAATGAATTTGTTACAGACTCAGGAGCTCGAAATCCTGAAACAACTGATATACCCAAGGCGAGCATCTCCATCTCTGGATCCCTGGGGCCAGATTCGAACTCTGCTCTCTTCCTTTTTAGGGTCTTTCTGGTGGACGTGGGTTGGATAACGGAGGAGGATTCTGCACCGGGGACGTCATGGAAGATGGAGATTGTGGGAGCGTGGCCCCTTTGGGTAAGGATCTGCCCTCTTGGCTCCTTCCTTGACCTTTGATTGAGGTTGGACCTTCGTATCCGCAAATATGTCCCAATAGTTGTTGGAGTGCTTCCTGTGGTGTCGTTGACCCCAGTTGGACCATATATTCCCACTTTAGGCATTTCCTAGGTCATTCTACAGTGTGCATCCACTGGACGTTAAGCATACATCACATTGGAGGACCTGGTGAGGCCTACAGAGAGATCCTTTGAGTTTTCTTGACTACAGAGAAGGCATGGGCCAACTCCAGGTGTTTTGGATTCCCAACTCCCATAATTCAGGTCAGAGTGAAGAGAGGGGCCATCTTGTCTCTCAAAGCACCCCTGACAGATGGCCATCCAGCCTTTGCTTAATAATGGAGACTCAACTTGGAGGAACCTACTAAACAGTTTTACTGTCTCTCAGTGCTAAATTACTGAAATAAAAAATAGGGATAATATAGTGCCCCAAATCAATATAACTAACTTTAAATATTAACAGTTAAATTACCATGCTGGGCTATTTACAAATGCCGAGAGAAGTACACTAGGCTCTGGTCAACTTCTGCTGGAAGTTAACCATAGAATTGCTTAACTTGGGAAGGTTGCAGTGGGGGAAGGGTGTGAAGGTATCTCTCTTCACTTGGGAAAATGTGTGAAGGCATCTCCAGCATGACTGTAGAGAGCAAGCATGGGCCAACTTCAGTCCTCCAAGTGTATTGGACTTCAGCTCCCACAACTTCTAACAGTGGCTGTTAGGAATTACAGGAGTTGAAGTCCAAAACACCTGGACGGCCTAAGTTGGCCCGTGCCTGATCTTCTGGCAGAAGTTGACCATAGCTCCATGTTTTCTAGGGCTCTCTACATCATCCAGCATCACTCTTGTCAGAGTGAAAATCGGGGTGCTATGCGCAGCGGAATAGATTGCTAGATCAAACAGACACAGGACTCCAAAAATTCCAGGACTCTGCAGTTTTCCAGTTTTAAAATAACACAAAGTTTACTTAGTACATCTCAATACGCATCTATTCTAAGTGGGCAAAATCAGGAACTACAAAGCACAGCTACAGTACAGTTTCAGAACATCTGCTTATCAGGCTTTCTGGCTGAAAACCGGAAACTCCCTTTTTCTTCCCAGCAGAGAAACTTGTTATCTAACTTCTGTCAAGGTCTCTTCTCTCTGTACCTCTCTGTCTCTTACAACAACAATTCCAACACATAATTGAACATAACAGAATCCATCTTGAATACATATGAACACCATTCTTAATCATATAGAAGCACATTGAAAAACCATACATGCATACCTTCAGTAATTCTGACAACTCTGTGGTCAGTGTCCAATGGAAGCTGACCACAGGACCTTGAAAGAACATATTAATAGAATCTGTAAATAATGAAATCAGCAAGAAGTTAAATCTGTAAATATGGAGAGTTGATTGCAGGTCTTGTTCCCTTGTCATTTCTTCAGGGGAGGACCGTTCTCTGGAGCCATGCCAGATGATCTCAAGAGCAATCAAAGAAGAAGTCTTTGATGAAGATGAAGAATCAATGATATTGGTCAAAGTGAAGGAAGAGGACTTCGAGGATGAAGATTCATGGTCACTGGAGGAAGAAGGGAAAGAGGAAGTATTTGAGGAAGAAGAAGAATCAATGGTGTTGGTGAAAGTGAAGGAAGAAGTCTTTGAGGATGAAGATTCATGGTCACTGGAGGAAGAAGGGAAGGAGGAAGTATCTGAGGAAGAGGAAGAATCAATGATGTTGGTGAAAGTGAAGGAAGAAGTCTTCGAGGATGAAGATTCATGGTCACTGGAGGAAGAAGGGAAGGAGGAAGTATTTGAGGAGGAAGAAGAATCAAGTATGTTGGTGAAAGTGAAGGAAGAAGTCATTGAGGAAGAAGAAGAATCAATGATATTGGTGAAAGTGAAGGAAGAAGACTCTGAGGATGAAGACTCGTGGTCACTGGAAGAAGAAGGGAAGGAGGAAGTCTTTGAGGAAGAAGAATCAAGGACACTGGAGGAAGAAGTGAAGGAGGAAGTATTTGAGGGAGAAGCATCAAGGACGTCGAAGGAAACCCCAGCAGAGATTGAGTGGAGTATACCGACTCCTTGGCTGTCGGATGACCTTTCTGAAATTCCAATCGAAATCCTGAAGGGGAAGAAAAAGAAGAATGGCCGCTCTTCGCTTGGGAGAAAAGTCCTTCCCAAATCCGGCCCTGACTCTCAGACAGAGGAAAATCCCCAGGGGACCCACACTGGGAAAAAGCCCTACGCCTGCCCGACCTGTGGAAAGACCTTGAGCAACAAACGCAACCTGACCTTCCACCAAAGAACCCACACGGGGGAGAAGCCCTACAAGTGCCTCGAGTGTGGGAAGTTGTTCAGCCAGAGCTCCAGCCTCCGTATCCACAAGAAGATCCACACCGGGGAGAAGCCGTACAAATGCATGGAGTGTGGGAAGGGCTTCAGCCACAGCACGAACCTGATCCAGCACCTCCGGGTCCACACCAACGAGAAGCCATTCACCTGCTCGGAGTGCCAGAAGAGCTTTCGGAGCAACACCAAGCTGAACTTGCACATGAGGGTCCACACGGCCGAGAAGCCATACCAATGCTTGGAGTGCGGGAAGAGCTTCAGCTACAGCTCCTACCTCCGCTTGCATAAACGGATCCACAATGGGGAGAAGCCCTACAAGTGCCAGGAGTGTGGGAAGAGCTTCCACCAGAGACAGCACCTGGTGTCCCACGAGCGGACCCACACTGGGGAAAAGCCCTACGAGTGCTTTGCGTGCGGGAAGACCTTCAGCCAGAGCTCTCATCGCAACCTCCACGAGCGGGTCCACACTGGGGAGAAGCCCTACAACTGCCTGGACTGTGGCAAGACCTTCAGCAACAACCGCAACCTGACCTTCCACCAAAGGACCCACACGGGGGAGAAGCCCTATAAGTGCCAGGAGTGCGGGAAGTGCTTCAGCCAGAGCTCCAGCCTCCGAATCCACGAGAAGCTCCACACGGGAGAGAAGCCGTACCATTGCCCGGAGTGTGGAAAGAAGTTCAGCTGCCGCTCGAACCTCGTCTATCACCAGAAGACCCACATCAGGAAGAATCCTTACAAGTGCTTTGAGTGTGGGAAAAGCTTCGAGCAGAGCCAGCACCTCATGATGCACATCGAAATCCACAGGAAGACAGTAGAAGTGGGTCAGGATACACTTGTCATAGAAGGGCCATAAAGGAATGTGTCCCAATAAGGACATGCTCCTCTGTAGGCCTCTATAGAAAGAGGAGAGTGTCTAGATTGAGGGAGGTCATCGTCCCTATAAAAGAATGTGTCCCAAGGACATACTCTTCTGTAGGCCTCTATAAGAGGAGGAGTGTGTCTAGACTGAGGAAGGTCATCATCCCTATAAAGAAATGTGTCCCAAGAAGGACATACTCCTCTGTAGGCCTCTGTAGGCGGAGGAGAGTGTCTAGATTGAAGGAGGTCATCATCCCTATAAAGGGATGCGTCCCAAGAAGGACATACTTCTCTGTAGGCCTCTATAGGAGGAGGAGTGTGTCTAGATTGAGGGAGGTCATTGTCCCTATAAAGAAATGCGTCCCATAAAGGACATACTCCTCTGTAGGCCTCTATAGGAGGAGAAGGAAGGTGTCTAGATTGAGGGAGGTCATCATCCTATAAAGGAATGTGTCCCGAGAAAGACATACTCCTCTGTAGGCCTCTATAGGAGGAGGAGGAGAGTGTCTAGATTGAAGGAGGTCATCATCCCTATAAAGGAATGCGTCCCGTAATGGACATACTCCTCTGTAGGCCTCTATAGGAGGAGGAGAGTGTCTAGATTGAGGGAGGTCATCATCCCTATAAAAGAGTGTGTCCCAAGAAGGACATGTTCCTCTGTAGGCCTCTATAGGAGGAGAAGGAAGGTGTCTAGATTGAGAAAGGTCATCATCCCTATAAAGGAAGCCGTCCCAAGAAGGACATACTCCTCTGTAGGCCTCTATAGGAGGAGGATAGTGTCTAAATTGAGGGAGGTCATCGTTCCTATAAAAGAATGTGTCCCAGGAAGGACATACTCCTCTGTAGGCCTCTATAGGCGGAGGAGAGTCTCTAGATTAAGTGAGGTCATTGTCCCTATAAAGGAATGCGTCCCAAGAAGGACATACTCCTCTGTAGGCCTCTATAGGAGGAGGAGAGGGTCTAGATTGAGGAAGGTCATCATCCCTATAAAGGAATGCGTTCCAAGAAGGACATACTCCTCTGTAGGCCTCTATAGGAGGAGGAGGAGAGTGTCTAGATTCAGGAAGATCATCATTCCTATAAAGGAATGCGTCCCAAGAAGGACATACTCCTCTGTAGGCCTCTATAGGAGGAGGAGGAGAGTGTCTAGATTGAGGAAGGTCATCATCCCCATAAAGGAATGCATCCCAAGAAGGTGATTGGATTAAATATATACGTAGCATAAGGAGCTAATATGATATGCACACATGATTTCCTGTAAATCAGGTGTTTCTGAGGAAATGAAAGCTTATAGTAACTTAGTAGTATGCGTGAGCATGCTTGAGCCAATAAGACAGAAACTCCAGATTTCTAAGAATTCATGTTCTGCTGGGGAAATCGGAAGTTAACTTTGGAAAAGAGTGTAAAAAGCCCATTGTTCTGTACCAAAGGTGAGGTAGTTTGGTTTCCCTTGCAATAGCAAAATTGCCTGTTTTCTGGCCAGAAAATAAATCTGGTTGTTTTCACCTGATCCATTTTGTCTGTTTTCTCTTCCTGTGCCTTCTCGAATTCTGTGTCTTCACGAATCCACTACAATAGTAGAAGGAGAGTGTCAAGATCAAGCGAGGTCATCGTCCCTAAGGAATGGGTCCAATGAAAGACATGTTCCTCTGTAGGCCTCTATAGGAGGTGGAGGATAGTGTCTAGATCGAGGGAGGTCATCGTCTCTATAAAGAAATGCTTCCAGTCAAAGACATGTTCCTCTGTAGGTCTCTTTAGGAGGAGGATAGTGTCTAGATTGAGGGAAGTCTTTGTCCCTATAGAGGAATGTGTCTAGTGAAAGAGACATGTTCCTCTGTAGGCTTCTCTAGGAGGAGGAGGATAGTGTCTAGATCGAGGGAGGTCATCATCATCTATAAAGGAATGTGTCTAGTGAAAGACATATTCCTCTGTAGGCCTCTCTAGGAGGAGGAGGATAGTGTCTAGATCGAGGGAAGTTTTTGTCCCTATAGAGGAATGTGTCTAGTGAAAGACATGTTCCTCTGTAGGTCTCTATAGTAGGAGGAGGATAGTGTCTAGATCAAGGGAAGTCTTTGTCCCTATAGAGGAATGTGTCTAGTGAAAGATATGTTCCTCTGTAGGCTTCTCTAGGAGGAGGAGGATAGTGTCTAGATCGAGGGAGGTCATCATCTCTATAAAGGAATGTGTCCAGTGAAAAACATGTTCCTCTGTAGGCCTCTATGGGAAGAGGAGGATAGTGTCTAGATTGAGGGAAGTCTTTGTCCCTATAGAGGAATGTGTCTAGTGAAGGACATGTTCCTCTGCAGGCCTCTATAGGAGGAGGAGGATAGCGTTTAGATCAAGGGAGGTCATTGTCTTTATAAAGGAATGTGTCCAGTGAAAGACATGTCCCTCTGCAGGCCTCTATAGGAGGAGGAGGATAGCGTTTAGATCGAGGGAGGTCATCGTCTCTAGAAAGGAATGTGTCCAGTGGAAAACATGTTCCTCTGTAGGCCTCTATAGGAGGAGGATAGTAGATTGAGGGAAGTCATTGTCCCTATAAAGGAATGCGTCTAGTGAAAGACATGTTCTTCTGTAGGTCTCTATAGGAGGAGGAGGATAGTGTCTAGATTGAGGGAGGCTTTTGTCCCTATAAAGGAATGTGTCCGGTTAAGGCATACTCCTCTGTAGGCCTCTATAGGAGGAGGAAGATAGGGTCTAGATCAAGGGAGGTCATCGTCTCTATAAAGGAATGCATCCAGTGAAAGACGTGTTCCTCTGTAAGCCTCCACAGGAGGAGGATAGTGTCTAGATCGAGGGAGGTCATCGTCTCTATAAAAGAATGTGTCCAGTGAAAGACATGTTCCTCTGTAGGCTTCTCTAGGAGGAGGAGGATAGTGTCAAGATCGAGGGAAGTCTTTGTCCCTATAGATGAATGTGTCCAGTGAAGGACATGTTCCTCTGTAGGCTTCTCTAGGAGGAGAGGGGTAGTGTCTAGATCGAGGGAGGTCATTGTCTCTATAAAGGAATGTGTCTAGTGAAAGACACGTTCTTCTATAGGCCTCTATAGGAGGAGGAGGATAGTGTCTAGATTGAGGGAGGTCATCATCTCTAGAAAGGAATGTGTCCAGTGAAAGACATGTTCCTCTGTAGGCTTCTGTAGGAGGATAGTCATAGCCCCCCTCTATTCAGCTTTGGTCAGACCTTCTCACTTGTAATACTAACCCTGTTCCAGAATTCCAGGAGGAGATGGACAAGATGGAAGGGGCCCAGAGAAGGGCCAACGGAATGGCCAAACGCTTGGCTGACCCTGAAGCCCTTTGAAGAAGAGGAAAGGACCATAGAATCATAGAAAGAGTTGGAAGAGACCTCATGGGCCATCCAGTCCAACCCCATTCTGCCAAGAAGCAGGAATATTGCATTCAAATCACCCCTGACAGATGGCCATCCAGCCTCTGTTTAAAAGCTTCCAAAGAAGGAGCCTCCACCACACTCCGGGGCAGAGAGTTCCACTGCTGAACGGCTCTCACAGTCAGGAAGTTCTTCCTCATGTTCAGATGGAATCTCCTCTCTTGTAGTTTGAAGCCATTGTTCCACGTCCTAGTCTCCAGGGAAGCAGAAAACAAGCTTGCTCCCTCCTCCCTGTGACTTTCTCTCACATATTTATACATGGCTATCATATCTCCTCTCAGCCTTCTCTCCTTCAAGCTAAACATGTCCAGCTCCTTAAACCGCTCCTCATAGGGCTTGTTCTCCAGACCCTTGATCATTTTAGTCGCCCTCCTCTGGACACATTCCAGCTTGTCAATATCTCTCTTGAATTGTGGTGCCCAGATGTGGTGCCCACAATATTCCAGATGTGGTCTAACCAAAGCGGAATAGAGGGGCAGCATGACTTCCCTAGATCTAGACACTAGGCTCCTATTGATGCAGGCCAAAATCCCATTGGCCTTTTTTGCCGCCACATCACATTCCTGGCTCATGTTTAACTTGTTGTCCACGAGGACTCCAAGATCTTTTTCACACGTACTGCTCTCGAGCCAGGCATTGTCCCCCATTCTGTATCTTTGCATTTCGTTTTTCCTGCCAAAGTGGAGTATCCTGCATTTGTCCCTGTTGAACTTCATTTTGTTAGTTTTGGCCCATCATCTCTCTAAACTGTCAAGATCGTTTTGAATCCTGCTCCTGTCCTCTGGAGTCTTGGCTCTCCCTCTCAGCTCCTTTGTGCTGCTCCGGAAACCGGGACATATTATTTACTGTCTTGGTTCTAGTGCTTTTTAATACCGGTAACCAGATTAGTAATTAATAATAACAATATAATACAAGTCACCTACAGACCCACCGCCAAGGTGCCACACCTGGTAGACCATCTTCCTCGAGCTATGAGGGATCACCTAAGCAAGTAAAGTAAGTAAGCATCACGTTGCAACACAGTCATTGCGTTTTACTAGCAAACTGGAGGTTGAACGAACTCCTTGCAAGAAACATTTATAATCACGAAATGCATGAGGACACACAACAGATCTCATGGGAACCTTTCTAATTTTGGAAATATATGATTGATGTATGGAAGAGACCCTTCCAAGGGCTGTCCAGCCCAACCTCATTTCTGCCATGCAGAAAAAGCACTATTCAATCAAGGCAGAAGGGGGTTGGACTGGATGGCCTTGAGGGACCCCTTCTAGAATGCCTTGGCTTGGCTTCTGCTCTTCTGGAGCATGTTTACATATGGGAGGCCAAAGAGGGAAAGCAAACCAGGGAGGGAAGGAAGCCTCAACACTTCCGGCTCTCATGCGAACGCCCTCTTGTGTGTTTTGGAGGGAGGAGGATGCTCTCTGGCTCTTTGCAGGTCGCTTGGGAACCCGAAGTGTTGCCACCTTTGGCCTTGGTGCCCAGGAAGGAGAAGGACGTGGCAAGGTTTGCATTGAGGGCGTTTCCCAGGTGGATTTGGCTTTGAAGGGGGACTCATTAAGGCTCAATTAATTAACACACTGGGATCAATGCAGGTGGAAAAGGGGCCCCTCCGTGCATTCATGCCAGTGCATTCATTAAGTTTTGCAATAATTATAATTTTAGAAAGAGGGGAGGGTTCACTTTGCAAAGCAAAATAATAATAATAATAATAATAATAATAATGATGATGATGATGATGATGATGATGATGATGGGGGAGGGTTCACTTTGCAAAGCAAAATAATAATAATAATAATAATAATAATAATAATGATGATGGGGG